AAACCATTTGGTGATACAAATTTTCACAGGTTTCAAAAGTGGGCATTAAATAAAGTTATGCAGAATGTATACATGTAAATTTGAAATGTTCAGAAGAAATTATCACTCCAGAAAAATTAAAGAAGCCTTCTAATAGGGTACACTTCTTGGTGTAAACTGTGGCTGAGTTTTGAATAATCAATGTGTTTTCACTGACTAGCTGGAGAACACCTCCCCCCACCACTACCCCTTCCCCCCAGAAATGAAACAAGGAACTAACAGAGTAAGATCATGTCAGGTGCCAAGGCATTTGTCTGCTCTCCAAAGCCACTGAAATATTTATGCCTAACTGGTCACTAACCTGGGCTATGATACTTTGCTTCTCCTGGAATGAAACTCACTAGAAGTAATAGTTTCAAATGGTAAGTTCCTTCAGAGGAATCTCAGAGCCCAGTAAACAACAACCAAACTAATTCTCAGCTCCCATAAAATTTCCTGAAATTTTAAGTCTGAACAGAGCTAATGGTATCTCTCTGAAAACATGGAGGAAGGAGGAAGTAAATTCTGCTTTCTAAAATACTGTATATCTTTCTCAGTATTTTTAGAGCTTCTTGAATTTGTTTGTTCATATGGCTATACATGAAAACCTCTAAAGAGTCATTAAAACAAAAGGAAAATAGGACTAATCTATCTCCATCCAGTTCCTGGTATGTCCCTTAATGCTTTCATGGCTACCCTGGTTTGTAAGTGAGTGTATTGTAGGGAACAAAACAAACAAAAATGGGGAAATGAGGATATTAAGAATGGAAAAGAATGAGTCCTTACAGTGAACAGTTAGAGAGATTTTAATGAAACTTTCAAGGAAGATAACTGCTGCCACTTTAAAAGCGTCTTCTGCCAGGCTGCCTTTTGACTGCATAAGCACATTGCACAGTGTTGTTACTGGTGGATAGCAATAGAAAATTTCTAATGGGATATTGAAATAGAAAGTTTCTAATAAAAATAAACGCTAGCATTCCCAAGCACTACTAAGAAAAAAAAGAAAAAGGAAAGCAGTGCTTTGCTTTTTCAGCTAGGAAGAGATATGGAAAAAAAGTGCAGTGAAGTCTAGAAAAAGAATGTCCTGAGAAGCAGGACTGACAATGAGCTTTTGGCTTACTGCCCAGAGCTGTGACTCTGTCTTTCCTGTTGCTTGGCAACTCCATGTTATCACAAAGAAACTGATATTAAGTTGGAACAGGGTGGATATGGTAATTTACGTGGGAAGATACTCTTGCAGTGGGAAAACCATTTTATTTCTAGTTTCTGTCAGCATAAGTAGGCTTCACATGATGAACTGTAGTACATCCCCTGTTGGGTGCATTTTACCTAAAAAGGTAAAGAGCGACTCTGCCTTGGAAAGTGACTGTGCAGAAAAAACCAGAAAACCAACAAACCCCACCACCTTGTTATTCATTAGACCTGCTCCTAGTGTCTAGTCAGACATTTCTTCCAACAGCAGTAACAAAAGCTTGTTTTCATACCTGTGTGGATCCACTGCAGATTAGAGAGATGGAACTCAATCATTATCCACAGTCTGTAAGAGCTGTCGGGATTTGCCCAAGACGTCACTGTCTTATATAAACATTAAAAGATAATCCTCACTTTATTTGAATAGCCCTGTGCTTCCTTTCACATTGGCAACAGTTAAGTGCTAAGTTTCAGTTGCACTTTATTTCTTTCCTGCTGAAAGAAGAGGCTGCACATGTAGCAGTTACAGGGTAATTTGAAGACCATGATAGAAACTGTCATTCAACTTTGAATTTGGCTGGGGCTGTATGGCTGGGAAAAGACTCAATTTTGATTGAGGTATATGGAGAGAATGGAAAAGAGAGAATTATGCAAAGCAAATTTGATTATGAAAGCTTTGAGCCACAAAAGATGTGTAATCCATAATGGTGTTTTTATATTTTAGTTTAGGTCTAAGATTTAATTAGAAAGGGAGAAAACCCAGAAGACTCAGGGTTTAATGCAAAGCCCTTTTTCTTAAATGTCTGGTTTACTCATAGCTCTACTGAAACCACCACCCCTGTCTTTCTGCATTTCCATCCTGCATCACTTCTAGTATTTTAACACCAACATGTAGGCCTATAAGTAAGGAAGTACTTTACGTGTCTTCAGGACTCCCTGTTCTGGCTTTGGTCAGCAAAACATTCCCTGTCTCCAGGCTTTTCTCTGCTGCAGAGCTAACTTAAAATATAACTCAACTTTTGCCCTTGGCTCAAATCCCAACCATACACAGAAACTTCTGACTTGAGTATGTTGATGCTGTTCAGCTGAAAGTATTGGTCTGGACTGTCAGAAGGCACAGGCAGCAGCTTCAATTGCATAGCTAATACAGCTACCCACTCCTGCTCCAAGGGCTTGCCTTCATTGCCAAAAAAGGTGCATTTTTACTGTGAGGCAATTAGCCTGAATTCACTATCCTTATTTAAAATCAAACCCTTGATCTCTTCTTTCCTTACAGTGAAGACATTGCTTCCCTATTAAATCAGAGCATCCCCTTTTGCTGAAGCTAAGCTGATGAGGAATGAACTCTGCAATGAAAACAACCCACAGTGTGCTAGACACCAAATAGACCCAGATACTGCAAGCAAAGTCCTTTCCTAAATGGGCTCATGGCGGGGAGGTAGCTCCCTTTGTTGCTCATTTTTCATTTGGCCAGCACAGAACCTATCAGCTTGCATCTGATCTACCAAACTAATGAGTTTGTCTCCTTTTTAATTTACCACATCACCTCCAATAAATCTAGAAATGCTCTTGGCTGTTATCTGACTTGCAGGGGAATAATTATTGGACTGACTCCAGCAGCAAGCCTGGCTTAATTAAAACACAGAGTATTTCCCAAAAAGGTAGTGACCAATATTGCTCTGAGTGCAACCTAAACCAATTTCACAACAGACTGGAACAGATGAACTTTGCTTTACCCCAAAGCTTTCTGTACTTTTAAACTGAGTTCCTCTGATGAATCATGAAGAACAGATTTCCTACACCCCCTTATCACTAGCAGCTAGTGGCTAACTTTATCCATCTTAACTATTGTCTTCCAAGCAAATTGCTAGCACATACCACCTTTTTCTTAAGCCTTGGCATCAGGGTAACATAAACCTTGCAGTTTCCATATCTTATAGTCATTGCATTTGTTAATGCCTGCTGTAGAGTGTTTTCTATGCCAAGTAGCAGCATCCTCTGGCTTGTGTAGCAAGCTAGTTTTTGCTACAGCAAAGCTATAGCAACTCCTCGGTATGGCAAAAAAATACCTCTATATTTCTCCTCATCTAGGGTTGGTTTGGTTTTTCTTTTTAGATTGAAAGTATTCTTTAAACAGTTTGGCCACTATGACTTTTATTAAGTAAAAAAAAACCAAAACCTACTTCTTGTAGCACCTGCATTTTCTGTATGCAATGATTCTCACTGGTGAGGAAAAATTGCTGCTATGTTTTTTATTCTTGAATTCTGATGAGCACAGAACAAATAATTGTACAAATGTGACAGGCAAGGAGTAGTGAGGAGTATGAACCCAGCACCTTTCAGGGGTACACTAACCAAGGGAGGGAGCAAAGCTCTGGGGAGAGATGCTGTGTACACAAACCAAGGCAAGAGATCCCTCTCATTGTGGCCGAGCTCTCCAAGAGCATTGCTGGGATCCATGAGCAGTTTCTAGGACTGGAGAACTGCTGAAAACCATCATTCCCATCTCACCCACCATGCCCATTAGCACCTGCAATTAGTTTTACCTAGTCATAGTCTCAGAGGGTGTTTAAAGGAGGATGGGAGTAAGAAGAGAAGTTTAAACATCTTTTTGTTTCCAGCACTACGCAAGTACTCAGATAAGACTGGATGACTCAAAGGGTCAGATGCATAGCTTGCCACCTCCAAGATTTTTTTTTCACAACTGTTTTGTGTTTGTAATGACTGTAGGACTGAATTTGATCAATCCGCCCCCCGGATTCAGAAGCACTCTTATTGGCTTATACTAATTTTATGAAGTTAACCCTCTTAAGTAATTTCTATAGTTATGGCTTCTTGTTGACTTGCAAAGATTGGTCAGAAATTAATTGAAAGGCAAGTTAAAATAAGAAATAATAACAGTAACTCAACTTTATTTTTGTTTGTGGTAGTGATATCAACTGAAAATACAGATGATCTCCTTAGGTTATGGTTCTAGAACATGGGGAATTACAAGGAGTCTGTGTTTTCCTCAGGGTACAGAAGAACCACAGAAACTGTAGGTGAATAAATAAGAATGTTAAGCCAAGGTGCAAAAGTGATTTTATATACCTAGGATGCAAAACTAATTTAGAGGCTGGAGAGCCAAAATATATGGGAGTGGGAAGGCAGCACAATTGAATTTTGGGTACTAAAACACCAGCAAACCAAAATCCAGCAGAGCAGACGAATCTTCTAAATGTTAAATCAAAAAAAACCCACAAACAAAAATATCAGCACAAACCTTTGCCCCCTCCAGTAACACTGAGTATGATTCATGGCTTTGTGAATTTTGATGGGTGGTGGTACAAAAATTGTTCTATCTACTACTGACAGATGGTAGGTTTCTTGCTTTAAAAATATGAAAACAGCTTGATCTCATGTACCTTGGTTTAAAAATAAAGCTCTTTTTATAGCACGTCTCAATTTTGACAACCGTACTGTGCAGTAAATATTGAATTCCATGTATGAGCACATTTTAAAAGCCTAAACCAGGCTCTTATTTTAGGGGTAGGCTAATCCTGTGAATTTATAAAGTCCTCAAAAAGAGGGCTCGCAGCTGAATGTAATGGCTCTTTGTGTTGTGGTTGTGGGTTCAGCTTTGAATTTAAAAATGCATTTTCTGGTCTGGTAGCTTTCTGAAATTTATTTAATTTCACAGATGTGTAAATACTAAGTTATCCATCTTTTTGTGATGGTAAGTCTGGAACAAATCTGCAGGAGTGAAATGTAACTGAATCTATAAGTAAAATTGTTTCTTCTTCATATTGCAGAGCACAGATAACTCAAATATATCTATAATTGCTCAGAACAAAAAGTGCTTTGACAATGATATTGTTTGCTCAAAGAATGTTTTCATCATGGTTGGAGACACTGAGATTTATTTTAGTGAACTTTCTGAGAAGCAGGTTAGTTATTTTCTTTTCTTTTCAGGTTGCCCTTTAAGATAAGCATTCTAAAGTTACAACTCTGAAGGAGTGTGTTTCTGGAAAAAGTCTCTCAGTCTGTGTTAACATAATGCAAGTGCCTAGGCCTGGATAAAGCAGCAGGTCCCAGGAAAAAAATCTCCTTTTACACTGTTCTTTTTTTCGTGTTCTATTTGTCCTCACAAAGAAGACTGCTCAAGAGGCTCAAGCAATCAAAGCATATTGGAGCTTATGTAGTTCTTTCCACTTGGTTTTGAAAGGGAAACCAAAACAAAAAATTAAAGCCAACTTGAATGATTGAAAAGACATAATATCAAATTATTAAATGACATTTCTAGTAATATTATTGATTCAGCTATATGATAAAGATAAAATATTATTCAGTATGCACTTTATTATTAATCGGCTGCATATTTAGTAGAATTACTTTATTAGATCTTAATATATATTCATTTTTGTCAGAAGACCTTAAGGGGAAAGGAAAACAAATCTAACTATCAGCTTTGGAAGGCTGGATATTATACTGTGATGCACTTTCCAGATCAAGATATTACGATTCTGTGGGATAAGAAGACAATGATACATATTAAAGTTGGACCTCGATGGAAGGTGAGCCCAAATAAAAATCTGAGATTTGTGTAGCTCTCTGTGTTGGCAACGTGATCTGTTATTGAATAACTGTGATTGATTGTCTTTTCTTCATGACTAACTTTGCCAGTGATATGACTGTTTATCATGGTGTTCAGCTGCTAGCATTTCGTAGGTCAGAATAGGCAGGGAATGTGATTTTACGGTTGGATTTTACTAAAGAGAAGTAGTAGTTCCTTCATGTTTACTCTGTTGTTCCACACATCAAAACCTTGCAGATACACAGTGATTTAGCTCTAGGTTACTTGGAGGGTGGGAAGACAGAGTTAGTTTTGTGTTACCCAGTTCACTGCATGTTTTCATAATTGCTGAAGCCAATGAAAAAGAACCTTCCGTATCTATCAACATGGAAGATGGCAGGTTTGTAGCACAGATTGAATTAGGCTGATAATGGAGATGTAGTAGAGGCTGCTGAGATGAACAGATGGAGTCATATTTTGGGTTTAAATTAAGAAGGCGAGATGCAAGAAAGGATCTAGACAAGACCTGACATTTAAACCTAATGAGTATACTGTGATAGGGCTCAGCCATTATGCAGGGAAGAATGAAAGGCTCCTTCTCTTACCAGTTGCTCTTCTCTGTTCCATTCCTATATCGTCATCTGCCTTGGTGTCTGGAACTCAGTCTTTGGGTCCTGGCAGAGTAACCTTATCTGCACATTCAATAATTACATTCCTGCTTTGTCTCAACCATGAACACACTTATTGAGAGGGGGCTGTTTCCAGTAAAAGAAAAGGAAGAACTCTATGCTAGAATACAATACCAGATTTTTTGAAGTATAAGCCAAAATTACAATGATTATCTAATCTGGTTTTAAAGCAAGATTATTACAGGCTTTTGTCCCAATAACCATCACACGCTTCATGTACAAGCTGATTTATCAGTCATCGATACACACTGTGAAAAAAAAATTCCTCCTTTTTTGTATGGGCTAGCAGGGAGCTGAGTTCTACAGGTTGCATGCAGCAGCACAAATATTTCAAGCTCTTTCTGTTTCCAATTACTGTTTCTTCCAGAGGCTCCAGTTCAGTAAGATAGTGTCTGCAGCAGACCCTAAGGGAAAATAATTCAATAGAGTGAGCCACAGCACCCTAGAAATCCAACTCTACATTTTACTGTTGTGCACAAATATATTTCCCTATACATGTAGATGTGTACGCATTTATATATACCTTTTCCACCAGCAGTGCATGCCCCAACACAAGAAAGCTGCAGCTGTCTCTTTTGTAACTGCTATTACAAACGTTTTAGTTTAGTTTAGCTAAAATTAGAGGCAGCAAGTTTTAACAACAATAACTAGTCAGGCTTCACAATCGTGAGGTAATTCACCTGAACTTTTGACTTCTGGACAGCATACACTACTAAGCTTTCAGAAAAAACCATTACTAGATTCCAGCCCCTGTTCACAGGCAGACACTAAGAACAGGTTCTGGAAAAGAGGAATAAAAAGGAAAACATACATTTCTAGTAAAATAGAAATTTGCAATATGGGAACTGTAAACATAGCAGAGAGTGAGATATTTTCAAAGTATAACTTAGAGTTGCATTCATCTTTTCCAGTTTAAGAACATTTTATTCCATACGTGTAGTTGTACCAAATCATTGTCTGTAAGTATATGTAAAAAGAAAAATAATCCTTCTTCTCTTTTAGGGTAAACTGGCAGGTTTGTGTGGGAATTTTGACAAATATACTTCAAATGATCTGACTACCTCAAACAACATGGAGGTGAGAAATGCACAGGTGTTTGGAGACAGCTGGGTATTAGGACAGGTAAGTCCCATGTTCAGGAAAATACTAGCAAAAAAGGATGATATTTTTAATTCATAAATGAACACATGATAAGCACATGATGTACAGGGTCAGTGTATAAGAGCACATTTTAATTTTTATGTCTGTAGATGTGAAATGTGTGATTAATGTCTTACATCATAGTAAACACATACTGAATTTAAATGAAACCAAACAATCTCTTTAGGGAAGAATATATTTTTCCCTATGTCATATAATGATCACAGCTGTCTGGATTTCAATTCTGTACAAAGTTTGATACATTGCTTCTGTTGTTTTGGATGCAATTTTAAAAGCAATTGTAATCTCTCTGGTGTTGGAGGCATCAGGACACTGAAAGTAGAAACAGTCTGGAAAAACGTTTCTTTCTCAACACTGAAAAAAAATTGATTATTTTTAGTTGCAGTTTGTAAACAGAGAATTAACAGATGAAGCAGCAGTGGTGAAGGGGTGAGACAGAAAGGGCTCAGAACAGCAACAGGCACAATCAAGTAAGGAAACGGTTTCCAAGGAGAAGGGAAGAAGCTATAGAGAGTGGATGACTGCAACTGTGTTTTGCAACACAGGAGAATAAGTATTTTATTAATTTGTGCTGAGATGTGAGGTTTTATAGCCTTATAAACCTCCTGAAAAATCAGTATTTGTAAAGCACTTCCTTAGGGTGTCTGTGAGAACCAGTTTTTAGTCTTTCCTTGACTCACAGCAGGAAATTGAACCAAAATCTCTTGCCTCATGAAAGAATATGATACTTATTCTAATTTGGAGTAAACATTTTGAGGCTTCTCTCCCTCAATATCTCCCTTTAGATCTATTTTCCTCTACATAATCTGTTTAGATTGGGTGAGCAAGCAAGGCCAGTGTGTAGTGGTGGTGGTTATACTGCTCATCTAGAAGGTGGTACATAAAGGAAAGTATAAAGGCTTTGAATAAATTCTATGAATTTTTCTTTCCAATTTGTCAGTTCAGTGGCTGCTTTAAAAAGGTGTGTAGTGTTTACATAGCACATTAACTTCTAGGATGTTATGAACTATGCTTATGCAGCCCGAACTTGCACTTGCCTTTTTTTAAGCTATATATATATATATATATATTTGTAAAATCTCATATAATCTTTTGATCTCTGTGGCTGTCAGAGCACTCAGTATTTGAGTTTGATATTGGCCTTGCAGGCAGCCTACGTTCAGCCAGACTTGACACTTCATCTATCTCTGCAGTAGGAATTAAAGATATTTTCAGAAAGGGCCTTTGACCTTCTTAGAGATGGATCCTGGTCATATTTTCTGCAAAATCTAAGTAGTTCAAATGTGTATTTGATAGCTGGAGGCTTAGAACCCTACTTTGCTACTGGTAAGCTTGCATTGGCACCATGAAGCATGGGATGCTTCCAGGGTTTTTCCCTCCTGGGAGTGGCAGTATGTCCCCCCATGGCAAAGGATCCACACATGAAGGTAGCGCAGGCAGCTGCACTGCAGCTGAGGCTGCATCAGAACACCCCAATGCTGCTTATGGATCCATCATTAGCTTCTCCTGGCTTCCCTGCTGCACCAAGAGAGTATGGTTTTGGATGAGCTCGTGTTTTCTGAGCTGTCATTTTGTTACATTTTTTCTGTCCACTAATTTTTCTTGTTGAAGAGAGGGAGCTGTAACTCAGTCATTTTTGAGTTATCATGATGATCTTTGATTCTATCTTTTTTTTTTTATGGGTTGCTCTCTTCCTACCACTGTTTCTTTATTTGAACTTACAGGGCTAAAGCCATCTGTAGTGTGGCTCCATTTAAAGTCAGTGCAAAACCACCAGGGATGGATTTGGATCATGTATTTGTTTGCAATGTTACAGTTGGTTGCTCTGGTAATGATTATAATGTGTCACAAAGAAAACATTTTGTCTTTATGTGCTGAGCAGACAACAGGAACATTTCAGTACTTCAGAACAAAACACAAAGATTCTTTTTTTATGCAAATGTTTTCAGTTATAACAACAAATTCAGAAAAAGGGGAGATGAAGTAGATAGAATTTAAGCTTTATTTTGATTTCATGAGTATCCAGGTTTTGAATTATGTGATTACAGTGTGCCTGAATCCATGGTAAACACACCTTTGTATAAAATGCTTGTGGTGTTTTTGTTGTTTTTAAGTGCAAGAGCCCAAATGAAACATTAAGGCCATGTGAGGGACATCAGAGCAAGTTCCCTTATGCCAAAAAGGAATGCTCAATTTTATACAGCGATATTTTTGCACCTTGTCGCAATGTGGTAAGTTTATTAAATATCCAAGATGTGCTTTCCTGTAGGAAAACATTAAAATTCCAGTAATTAATTTCTTCTTGCCATTCCTGTTAGTCCACATGCCATGGAGGATACAGAGTAGAGCCCTGCAAGTATCTCTTTGTGGGTGGGCTATTTTTGTGCAGAGCTCCTTGCTCCTTTCAAGGCTGGAGCCTAAACATGCTAGTGATAACTGGGAGCCATGAGTTAGCGGACTGGATAATGAAGTTTCTGTTCTCTTTAGGTTTTATTTATATCTTTTATTTATAGAGGTAATTACATTTTTAATTTTTTTGTATATATTGCAGGATTCTAAAATAAACGTTTGTGTGATGTGCCTACAGCTTATCTCAAATGAGTTTATTTTGTTAACTGTCCTGCTCAATATGGAAAGAAATATGAGCGACCGAGATTTCAGCTTCAGAGCTATCAGTATTTTTAATTGGCTGACAGCTTATCATCTGTTTTTTTATCAAAACTCTGAGGTTTGGTGTCCTTATTTTCCCAGTACCTGGCAGAGCTCGGGGCTTCAGTTACAAGAATGTCCTTAATTTCAGTCTAGCAAATAGCTTGTGTAGGAATTTTTGATTCCATTTTAGTCCACCTTTTATCAACACAATACCCTATGCATTTTTCCCAATATCTGATTTTAGCCTCTAGTTATCGAAGTTGCTTCTTTACACCTGTGCAAGCAAGAACCACTATGACATTTTGTATTGGTCTCTTATTTTCTTTATGACAATTAATACTAAATGAGATTATTAGATGTCCCAGCTGAACCTCCTGACTTTCAGGACTGAAGTTTGATATCAACATGGTTAGGAATTTGACGGAGGAGGAGGTTGCAGTAGCTTAAAACAAGAGATTTATTAATGTTGACTTTAGTTACTATGTAAAGAATTTTTTGAGCATGTGCCTGAGAACATGGTGATGAGGGTATTTTTGAAATGGAAAGTAATAAATAAAATGGAACTTTTGAGAGTTTTTAAGGAACTCCATTATTATAACCCATAAAGAAAGATGTTTTCTCTTGAACATTCATTTTCTATATCTTATCCATGTTGTGATTAAAATTTGCAAACATTATGACAAAAATTTAGCATAATTACATTAAAAAAGTAAAGGTAAAGTGACCCCTATTAAGGATGTCTGCAGCTGACTGGTGGCAGCATGGCTAGGGAACTGGCTGCCAAGAAAAAAGCCCAGTGACTGACACTGGGGGCATGGAAAGAAAAGAAAGTGTAGATGTGGGTTTCAGGATGTTCTTTGGAGCAGCTCTCCTACACTCACTCCTGCTGTGTGAGTGCTGGAGGATCCTGCTGTCCGTGGAGCTCAGCTGAGGCTGGAACCTCCCATTTTCAGGGAAACAAAACATTGCATCTCTGGCTGGGAGTGACTGATGGGCTGCGGTTGCCCAGCTGAGCACTGAACTCATCAGGGTTGAGGACCCTCAACACTTGCAGAAAAGAAAGTCTTCCTCATAACTCCTCAGCTCAGCAGGAGCTTTGACTCGAGGACCCCAGTTTGTCCCGGCTGCAGGATCTTGCCAACCCATGGGGAGATGCTGTCCTGCAGACATGAGACAGGTCTTTGGATCCAGTCTGCTGTTTGGTGGTTCCTGCAAAGCTATTAGAGCCATTTTCTATAGAGCCAACGCTCATGCCCCCACACGAGTGCTGTCCTTGTTTTCGAAATGAGGAAAAGAATGAAAGCAAAATGGCGCCTCTCTCCAGTGAAAGCAGAAAAACAGTCTTCACGTCCCTGACAGCTTCTAGCAACTGCTAGCTGACAAGCTGTCTCCATGTTAGATAAGCGCTGCTTTGTTTCTGTGATGGTATTTCTGTAATCTGACGTGTACCATTTGAGGGCTCTACAACTGAGCTAGCCCAGAGTCTAAACTGAAGAAAAGCATTGCTTTAAACATTGCATGTGTTGAGTAGTAAGAACACTGTTTTGGAAACATTGCTTAACCTTACAAAAAAGAAAGTGTACCATGTGAAAACACAAACTAATGCGATAGCATTTTAGAGTGAGATATGGGTTTCTGATCTAATGAAATTTGTGGACAAAGTATATTAAAACCTTTATAAGAGCAGGAAAATTTTTCTGCAAATGAACACTCGATCTTTCTTTCACTAATCAAAACTCCCTTTACAAATTATTACTTTAATTACTTTATAATCAGAGCTGCATCTCTCTGCAGACTGTTGTTTGTGCAAAACTGAGAGGATAACTGTAGATGGCAGTATTTGCCTTATAAAAACAGAACAGCCAGCTTCGATATACACTCCAAACCTGGTGAACAGCAATTGTGTGGACAGACGTGTTAACAGTCACTGACTGAAATTTTCTCTTGGCCTGTAACATACGTACAAACTGATCATTCAAAGTGTACTTTTTGTATAGGAATGTACCCAAAGCTTAGAAAATACCATATTTTTGTGTTAAATCCTTTCAGTTCATCCAGAGGTAGCACTTCTGCTGTAAATGGTGCAACAGGAATTTGTACATACAGCTCATGCAATTCAGTCTCCAACCCTCTTTTTCTTCTATTTATTTATTTTTCCCCAGATTGATGTGACTTCTTTTGTCAAAAATTGTCACACAGATACGTGCAACTGCAATCTTGGTGGGGACTGCGAGTGCTTGTGTACCAGTATTGCAGCTTATGCTCACAAGTGCTGCCAGCAAGGAGCACCGATTCACTGGCGATCTCCTTCCCTCTGTGGTATGTACCTGGGCTGGCTTCACATTGGAGCTCATCTTTGAGGCATCTTTGGCCTTTTTCTGCCCAATAATACAAATATGACAGAATCAGGTGCATAATAAGTGCCCTTCTTCACCATTTTCAAGCTGTCTCTGTGTTAGCTCTTAGTGTTATACACCCAAATTTGCTGTATTACTGAAGAGGACTGTCTGGGCTCAGGGTGTGCCAGTGCAGAGAGTGTTGGAAAGGCACTGGTATACCAGATCTGGGGTGCGTCCAGTGTTCTGTGTAGGGCTGCAAAGAGCTTCACTCCATTCTCCTTTTCACAGATGGTGAAAAGCAGAATAATTCATGCTGTCAGCTGTATATTAATTCATGCTTAAGGTCTGCTGTCCTGGCACATCTATTTTAATACAGCTGTGTGTCTCTAAATAAAAGCCTAAGGAAATAAAGTCACACACTGAAACTCCCTCTGATGAAAGTGAACTTTACATTTTTAGAATGCAGATATGCATAGATTCCGATGTTACTTTGTAATAGTAATGTGCTTGTTTTCATTTCTTTTAGCTTATGACTGTGATTATTACAATCAAGGTATGTAGCATTTGATATTACTATCTTTGATTCATCCTCATATTTATATATGTTGCTGAATCTACTTTTCAGGTTTTCTATTCTAACATCTTTCTTTCTCTATGATGCTATTTTGAGATGTTAATCTCTCCCCTCCTCACTTATTTTCTCTTTCAAAACCAAATACCCAGGACACACTTTTCTTACATTGGTTCACTCAGACTAACTGTGGACGAAAATATAGTTTGATAATTTCTCTCTTTCCCAGGTTAGACTGTGGGTTTTTGCACTCCTGATTTGGGTATGTGTGGGCATTAGCGAGCTCAGCAAGTTAGCAAAGCAAGTCCCCACGGGCCTTTTTGCTCTGTGTGCAGGGATGGTGGTGGCATGGAAACAAACAATTGTAAGCAAAACAGCACATCTGGCATCTCAGATGAAATATGGTACAATTAACCATGCATATAAAACTCTTAGCAGCTTGTGCTGAGAATCTCTGTCAGTTGCAGCAGTGCTGGAGGTTCCCCATTCCCCAGGGTAGGACTGCATAGTCACAATACCTTGAACTGAATGGACCTTGAAGTCCATTAAAAAGGAGAGGTGACTTGTATGAGCAGCCTGGAGCATTATATGTCATTTTGCAACATATGCCTTCTCTATTTAACCTCATTATATCATTATGTCACTTTTTCTTTCCTCCTGTTCTGCTATGGATATCTAAAAGACTTTTTTTTTTGCGTGATATCTCATGTATTACTTGGGATTTGTCCTATATAAACATACACAGTCCTGCATTAGTAAGGAATTCAAATACTGATGCACTAGTGTGCATCTTAGAAGTTTACACATGGTTATTAACATTTGGATTTTCACCTCACTGAACTAACTGCCTTTGGCACAGGGAAATTCAAGTGCTTTTATCCAGAAATGAATGGTGTGGATATAATGCATCTCTGATGAAACTGAGTTAATCAGAGTTACATAAATCATAATAATAATTAATTTGGTATAATTTTAGGGGTAAAAATAAAAAGCCCTCATAAATTTATGAATGTTTGTCACACTATGCAATTATTTTCTAGGTTTTCATTCTGATGTGGCTTGCTTTGTTTTAGTTTTTCTTCTTTGTTATTGTATAAAAGACGTTGCTCTGATTCAATTAAAACCTCAGTTGAATTAATTGATGGGCTTTTTCTTTGAGTTGGTATATATAGTTTTAAAATTGCTTCTGTTTTTAATGAGTAAAGGTCAGTGGCCCTGCTGTGTTGAACGATCTTAGTAATCCCTAATGTCTCAATTAATAACCTCATCATAATCAATGTGGGGGTGCATAAATGCACCCTGCAGCACATCTTGGCAGCCAAGGAGAAGCAATAGAAGGATGTTACCTTGCATTTCTACTGTAAATTTAAAAACTGAGATCTATTTTAAAATTGAAAGGTTACAGGTTTTTATGCACAAGTCTCATAAGTATTGTACTATAGAGGACAGTTCTTTAGAATGAGGAATTCTTAATTCTTATAGCATACCCACTTATATTAGGATAATATGCATGTGCTTTGTGTGGAGCAAGATATTGAAAAGCAAAGGAAATGACTAAATGCAATGAAATAAATACGACTTTTGATACATTTTTTTTAGTGGCTTGCATCCTATAATGATCATCATACGAGGAGGATATTTTTCTCCTCCAAGAAGTCTGTCTCAGTACAGTAGCAGCATGTAATGTCAGTGGGCAGCTGTGTGGTGCTTAGTTGCCTACCACAGTTAAGGTCAAGGATGGTGTTATGCATGTTTCTACCACAAAGTGCCAGCAAAACACCTTTTGGGACTAGGATGGCTTCTGTGATTCTCTTTTGTTCTGCATGACTTCAGACTGTTAATCTTTAAGGAAACTCCTGCTTTTGTTCAAGTCCTAGGCAAAATGTCTGTTAATATGTAGGGATAAGCATTCAATGACAGAATAAAGGGTCTTTTTGAGATAAATTTTCTTGCCATTTCTTTAAAAGTGGCAAGCTTGTGGGCTTTATGAGCTCCAACATAGCTTTCATATAAAAACAGTAGTTATTTTCAAGCAGCTTTGTTTAGAATTCAGTGTTTAGCTTCTAGCTGAGGCAAATCTCATTATTATGAGAATTCCTTCTCTCTTGGAAGATTCATGCTTGAAAGGAGCTGTCTTAAGCTGGGAAAGGGTTCAGTCTTTTCACTGTAATGATTAAAAGCTTTTACAAAATCTACACATTTTGTTTATTACTCACAAAGTAAAGTTTTAGAAGTATGCTGCTCTTGGTTCTTTCAGTGGGATATAGTGACAAAGATGGATGCTGTTATATCTGGACGTATCCCTTCCAGCCTAGCAGAAATAGCTCCAGAGGTTTGCTGCAGGGCATGGTTAGGCCAGCACTGTTTTAGCAGCAGTACCAGCTGAGGCTGTTGTCACTTTTCTATTGGCATGAGCTTTTGAATAATGGTGTGGTGAACCAGACTGGAAAAATTAGCTGGTTGCTTTTCAGCTGGATCACTTCACTGCTGAAGCACTTAGGAGGGCATAATAAATGGGGCAGTAGGGGGGCAGAAGCAAGTGGTTTGTGGGAGAGGATGAACTAGGCAACTGCTTAAGCAATATTGTGCCAGAAGTTGAATATAATTTGAAATCTGTTTTTTGCAGGGAGAAATTGTCTTGTAGATCTTAGAGCAGCTTCAGTGTCTATGTGGGAAATAATATTAAAGTTGCTCTGTTGAATTCAGATTCTTTCAAATTATAGAAATAAGGACATGTAAAAGACTAAGCACCATAAAAAAGCAGCCCAGGTTGCTTTCTTGTACAGGTCATTTTGTGAGCACAGCTGCCCACAGCTCTTTGTGCTCATTTTGTATCTGCTGTATTCTGGGCAGTGAGCAAAGAATAAGGGGGTATGTTGAACAGATAGATACAGACCTACACCAGTGTAATAACTTGAGGCATTGAGCTGTAATTCCAATGTATTTAAGGCAACATATTATGTTAACTCAGATTTTGTATATTATGCAAGGAGGATTTTTCTTTTTCTATTTTGATTTTTCTCCCCTTAGGTCTTGGTGAAGGACCCTATATTTTGGCAAGTTACGGACAGAATGACACAATTATAGGAGCTAATATATCTAGTAGAAGGATATTTCCCCTGCCTAGAGCTGGAGCATATGGAAATGTATTTTTCAGCTTCATGATAACTCCAGGGCTTTTCAAAGATAAAGATTTATGTAAGTGTTCTCAACAATTTTGCTAATGGCAATGCATATTTTTCAAGCTATATGAACGATTTTGGATGATTTTTGTTGAATCTTCTAAAATAGTATAGATATTTTTAGTTATTGGAATAAGTGAGATTGAAGCAGCCAATTTCAAAACTGAGGAATACTGGGGTTCTTTAATTAAAAAATAAACTGGTTAACCTCGCTGCCAGCTTTAAAGCTGACTTTTCAAGGTTTTTTTAAGAAATATTGCAAAATACAAGTAATTAGAATTCCTTCTTGGAAAAAAAACAAACAAACAAAAATTAGTTTGGATAACTGGAAAATGGAAAATTTTGCACATGTATCTCGCCAGTATCAAAACTGAAGATAAATGCAGGATATTTTCATCTCCAGTAATATTACTTCTACTTTATCTTTTCTTCTTTTTTGCAACTTTCAGTGGACTATAAAATATGCAACTTAGAACAACCAATTTGTTGAAAAAAATCCTAAACCCTGAAAAATCAAGATAGAGAAGTCCTGTCTTGGTAAAAATTGAAACTATATTTACAAACAGTTGAGAAATTAGGGTTTTATATATGATTTATGAATGAGAAAGTACATAAAACAGAAGAATTAATTGTCTTGTCAATTCCCCAACTGATGTAAAGTGGAAGTAAAACATTCATTATGTCTGTGCAGCACACAGGTAGCCTTTATATCTGTGAGGAATTAGATAGTATCAATCTACATTAAAGACACTTCAAGATTTTATTCAAGTTGAAAACCAAATGTGAAGTCAGTCTTCTAAGTTCTTATTTTCAGAGAATTTTCTTCACTTTTGATTTCCAGCATGCATAGAGCAAATAGAGGGTTGAGCCTTTTCTTGGGCCACAGGTTTTCTTACTGTATTGCTGGATATAACCATATGTAAAACAAGCTTGGCCTCAAGGTGAAGTCAAGCACCTTCTTACCAAATTTGCATGGTGTTACTTACTAATGAAAACTTGGTACAGCTGAACTGTTAGGTATTAGTCCTAATTCGAGAAAAGCCTCCCAGTTTGAGCTGGTCCCAGTTTCAGACTGCTTATGAATAGTTTCAAAGGCTGGTAGCAGTAGACAATATAGTTTTGATCTAACTGATTGGCTTTCTACTAATTTCTGATTATGTGATCATTTGAAGTCTCCTTTAGACCCTGCATTTCTAAACTTGTTTTTTGTTTATTACATAAACCTGAAATATTTTCCTGTGAAAACCAGCTGTTTAAAAAGGAACCACTTAACAGACAATATATAGATTTTAATCTCACTTCCAAGTTTCTTTTTCCTGTGAAAATTTTACTATTCTTTTTATTTCCTTTTCTTTTGTGGAAGCTCTCTCTCTCGTTTCCCTTGAATCTGCTGAAAGACCAAACTACTTTCTGTATGTACATGACAATGAAACCGCTGGGTTGGAGCAGTGGCAGGCAAGTGACTCCTTTCAGAGACGAGCCACCTTCTTCCACCACCAGGGCCTCTGGAGTCCAGGGCTCAGCGCCTTTGAACTGCACAGTAAAAAAGGCTTTTTCATCATTCTCACCTCATCTGGTGTTAAAGTGGCAAAGTATGATGATTCAGAAGAATTCAAACGTTTGAGTAGCTTTAGTATTGAAGGTAAATTTTGCATTTTGCAGTACCTTCACTATGTTTAACTGATTTTGAAGGCTTTATACACAATATATTGTAAAAGTGAGTAGCTGTTTGTAACTTGAAACTTGATGTTTCAGTGTCTTTTAGCTTGACTGAATATAAAAGACTTGAAACTGATAATGACCAAAATCTCACATATTCACAAGTTCTCAAGAATTTCTCTAATTTTTTATTTTTTCTGAAAGCTCCATTGTACAGTATAAAAAAGACTATATACAGTAAAAGACTATAAATTGACTGTTTATTGACTACATAATAAAAAAATAATACCTTTTTCTTCTTCCTCAGAACTCCGTTCCTCTGTGCCTTATAGAAGAATGTGTGAGTGGCGATATGAATCTTGTGCTAATCCTTGTGTTAAAACCTGTAGTGATCCTGAAGGAATAGCATGCAAATTCCTTCCTCCGTAAGTAAAATTAAGCTTGTATTGCTACCCTATTGATTTCTGTAACATGCGTACCATAGGCTTTCTAAGAATGACTGCAGCTGCAATATACATTCGTATTTACTCATCCAGATTTCAGTATCACTCTTGTGAGCAAGTCTCACAAGTCATATGAAAACAGTTGTAAAAAACTCCTTGTTTCTCATGGTATACCTTCCTGTTTACATGTGACCTTTCAACACCAGAACAAGAAAGTCTATAATAGCCCAGGAGATTAGCTTCTGGTAGTGGCTGAGTGGAATCTATTAAGTTAAATGAAGGCTATATCCTTCTATGGATTGATATTCACATCCTAACCCGCGACGCTGTGAATGACTACATCTTTCTGGTGTTTATGAGATCAAAACCTGTAGAAATAGTAAGGGTAGACTACGCCCTCTTCTGTAAGAGAAGGGAACTTTATAATAATAGATATTGGCATGATGTGAGGGATTTCACACAGGTGATAACTTGTTATTGGTAATAAGATTTCCTGTCTCCACGGATCTCCCCTGGCATGTCTGGAACCACAACAAACTAAAAAGAAAAATGCCAAGTGCAAAATCTGGTGGAAAAGAAATGATATTTTGCATTTCAGCTGACCTCCCTAGGCATATGTAGTTTATGATTAGGAATATTACTAGTATTACTAACTTTCCCTGTTGGTATTCTTACCTTTTTCCATATGGGCAAACTGGTTGTTAACGTCATGACCTTCTCATTAAAAATTCTCCCCAAATGGAAAAGGGACTATATGGGCTTGCCTGCACTCTTCCATGCTGAAAATGCACAAGAATGAGACTTTTTATGGAGTCAGTCTAAATATTTTAATGTATCAAATGAACATACCTGGGTAAGACAGCAGTCTTGTCAAGAAGTTCTGTGTCCATGGAAAAACCTTTGTGCATAGGGATCTGAACTTCCTCCTGTTTGTGGAAGCAGAATGGTCCAAAACTATCATGCTGGTCAGTCTATGCAAATAATTGATTATTAACAATTTAGAAATAATTATTAACAATTTAGAAATAGAATTGTGCTCTTCAATGTCTTTTTGACATTAAATGCCTCAAATGCTGTGTTCATCACTACAGTGGAAAGTTCTCTAAACTCTGATGGAGAAGATATTCAAGTGTTTCATTTTGCCATAGTAAAATAAGTTAAAATTAATCTACCTTTCTCCTGTGGCTTTAGAATTAACCATACACTGTTTTAAAGGGTTGAAGGATGCTTGCCATACTGTCCCAAAAACATGATCCTTGATGAGGTCACACTTAAATGTGTTTATCCAGAAGACTGTAAGTATACTTTATTCTATTGGTCTAATCTTATAAATTACTCTAAAGATCCATGGAAAAGTTTTAACCAAATATACATTCTATTTTTTGATAAATACTTTACTACTGAACTTACACTCCATTCTGAGTAGTCTAAAACAAATCTCCTACGTCCAAACAAGCCATAGCTAAAGTTAACTTCTTTAATTTCTCTAATACTGTGTTAAATTTAACCTTCTGTGATGGCATTATACTAATTGCAACTATATTTGACTATACACTGTGCTAGTATATCATGTGTGTATAAGACAAAATCCCAAATGGAGGAAATACTGCTGTGGTGAAAAGTTCAGACTTTTCAGTTTATGAGCCACCAGTAACAAATTCAGTGCGACTATTTCATAACTTGAATGATAACTTGTGATGACACCACATTATTTGCTTATTCTGGGAAACAGTATTCTTTTAACATAACAATTACATTTAATACTGTCTCCTATTTTATTTTACAAGTTTCAAATTAAATACATTGGTTGATATTTGCTAGTGCAAAGTTACCTCATAGTATGCTATCTTCCAAAGATTTATTTATTCAAAATGTTTTACTATCTTGCATATACTGAATTCTCAATAGAATTCCTTTGTTGCTTCTATAATTGCTTTGCAAAATCAAGACTGTCACTAATAATAAAAAATTACCTACTTCATTCGCAAACAAAATTAGAAAACCTGAATCAACTGAGTTTCTCAAAGTCATTAGACAACCTGGAACCACTGGCAAATTACCTTCTCAGCAAAATGGTGCTCTGATTTGCTAACGTTTAAATGGGACTTGAGTAGAGATAGATGTTGGTATTCTGCTTTACCAATAATCTATGAAAGACATTGAAACATGCTTTTTTTTTTCCTTTTAGGCATACCCTTGGCACCTACAGAATCAGCAATTGGAACAAAACCTTCATTGCTAATCTCTCACACGGGTACTACCACAGAGTGTTCTCAGACACCTCCTTTATTTGTTACTTCAGGGACTAAGTCAACCCATGCTGATGTGACAGGCAAAATAACCATGAAAGCAAACACAGCTTTAAGGGGAATGAATACGTCGGCACAGCCCGTCACAGACGCTTATTCATTGGAAGCATCTAATGCAGCCATCTATTCAATGTTTTCATTATCAAGTACAGTGGAGCCTTCCGATGTACTTCACAGCACAGCCAGCCCTACTGTCCTTTCCACACTCACCTCTCCAATAGATTTTCCAGCAGCTCTTCAAGCCTCAGCAGTCACATCACGTACTGTCATTTCTGCTGAATCTATAACTTTATCCATTACAATAGCAAGTCCAACAACCCCACTCAGTGCAAGTCTTTTTACAACACATTATGTGTTATTGACACCTACTCCCCTAGTTGTAGTTGCATTTCCACCTGAAACATCAACCACTCAGCTAGAAACTGTTCCCCCCTGCCTCATTATTAACATCTTTAACTTCCAAGCCATCTTTTGTTACTTCTGAGCTGCCTCCAGGGATTGGGAAGAGTAGGATTCCTTCAGTAAATCATTCTAAGGGAGCAGCAGTACCCTCTGAAGTGTCTTTTACTGTTTTGCTGGCTGACAGAGCAACTTTCACAAGACATGTATTTCTTCTATGTTCACAGCTGCCACTAAGCCCATCTACTATATCTCCTATATCTACTTTGTCTGTTAGAACTAGGTCTGGCATTGGTCAAACTGCAGTTCACCTAACACGCGTTTCTGTACGGAATTCAGCCTCTCCCCAGATTCTGACTACTAGATTTGCTAACTTTGAAACAGGTTTTTCTCAATTAGCTACTGTTTCATATTTTGAAATAGCAAAACCCTTGTCTAAAACTTCTCTGATATCATTAAATGCAAGTTCTTTAGCTAGTTTTTCTCCAAAGCCATTTTTAACTTTAGTGGAAATTTCAGTTCTCAAGCAGGTATCTCCTTTAATAAAAGGCAGTGTTTCTTCTACTTTCCCCATAGTGGCTGTATCTTCACCTCAAGTTGCTTCTCAAATTCCTCTAAATACTTCTTTGGGTCCTTCTGTAACATGCACAGTATCTATAACAGTGTGTTCTCTGATTATCTCCTTGGAGCCAAAAACTATGGTGAATGTCACCATTGCCTCTGAAAGTCTTTACAAAGTCCCTTCCTCAGTTTCCACTTTTCCTGTCAATCCGATAAACCCTGATATGTCTATAGCAAGTAAAGCCTCAGCAGAAGAAAAATACATAATGCACACTGATCCCTTTTCAGCATCATCCATTTCTAAAAAAGCTAATGAAATCGATTATGTCTACAGTCTTCCCTCTTAGGACACTGGTATTACCTCTAAATGCTACATTAATAACCGCTTCAGAAGTAACAGATTACCCAAGCTGTTCACAGACAGACATGAAAACTGATGTTGTGGTACAAAGTTCAGGTGATTTAATTCCTAATGATCCTTCTTTTACAAGGTCATCATCTTTATTTCTTATCAACAAATCTTGTTGATATTTTGTTATCAACATCTGTACAATTGTATGTGACATCTTACTGCAAGCTCTTCATTGATCCCCACAGACAGTAGGACATCATCATTAACACAAAATATAACTGCTACCCAAATGTCAGTTTCATCTTTGATACACAAGGAACCTCAAAAAGCCCAATTATAGACTTTGTAACTTCTGTAGATTCTTCTGCCTTCATTTCAAAGATAAGGTTTTCAGCCTTTCAGTAGCACTAAAAACATCCATTGTAATGCCCCCTTTTCCAATGCCTACAACTCCTGAAGCCACTTTAGAAAGCCAGTCCAGTAGGGTCTCTGTGTCTTCACCTCCTCCTAAGACCGCTTGTATCTCTACTGTTTCTCTAGGAAAACAGAGCTCTTCGGTAAGTTCTTCAGAAGATGGAACAATATCATCCATATCTGCTGGAATCATCACTCAATCCACTACACCAACAATCAAGAACACAACAGTGAATGCTACATCCTTAAAAGTGCCTTATATTTTTGCAAAAATACCACCTAGCTCTTCAAGCAGTTTTGCTTCTGTCACTACTGTGGCCTCTAGCATTACTACAAAAACCACTGATTCTTTTGTTGCCGATTTGGAGTTTTATATGGCTTCAGCTTCAGTTCCTACCACCACAGAAACATCCATGCATGTGTCACACAGATCTTTATTTACACCTGCAGTGACTCAGGTTTTGCAGAGCACTAAAGAGACTCCAAAAATTATGATTATGAAAACAACTGGTACTACAAGTCCATTATCACAGACAAAGAGTACCTCACTTGCAGCTTCAGAAGTTAAATATGCAACCTCATTTGAAAGAACTGGGGATGTTTTAGAAAGTGGTCAGATTTCACATGAGCAAAGAAATGTTACCAAGACAAAGTCAACCACAACTGAGAAATCTTCCCTGTCTTATTTCACAGTATCTCCAGTTCAGAGTTCACCTTTCCCAAGAAACATAACCACAGTAAAAAATCTCTCTGCTTCTGGAGTCCCAGATGTAATAATATCAGATTGGTCAAATATCCCAACACAGAAATCCATTAAACCTTATTTCAGTTTAACAAAGCCCACAGAGCTTCAGACCAGAACTGTAGTAGATTTATCTCATTCTAGTGGTGGAATGTCTCTGCCTTCCTCTCCAGAGCCTGTGGAAACACTAAGTTCTCTGGCAAGCACAGAAACAATGACAGCTGTAGCTGACAAGGCTTCCTTTGGTACAATGATGCATACACTGATGTCTACATCTTCTGAATGTGTGGTATGATCAGTTCTACTTGCTCCTATGTGTTAAAATAGATACTGCTTTGCAGTCCATTGTGTTATGCTATGTATGTAATACCAGAGCTTTAAAAATCACCTGATTTTGTTTTCATTTGTCTGTTTTAAAATATGCAACTATTCTTAGATGGTTGCAGTATTGTTGCTCCTATACTGCTGTAGTATATTCTGCAACTTGGATGTAAGACTTTTAAAGCTATGTGCTGACTCTAGAAAGGAAAATACATTTTTGAGCTGTAGACAAAACCATAAACCATTGGATGTTTTTGTTTCTGCATAATCTCACTCCACCTTTCCTTTTTCCATTTGATTCTTTGTTATAGGGCTTAAAATGATGGGAATGGATGATCCTGTATTTTTTTAAAATGCTTCAGATTATTGCTGAATATAACATGTAGCCTCAGTGCACAATGTTTTGCATTCCACCAAAGCTAGATGGAGCAGGAGGGGTGTGGGTGTGGGATGTGCATCCTTGTCACCTGTCACAAAAAAGCAATTCATTCCAAAATAACTGATGAGGAGTCTTGTAGTCATGCTGATTCTGTCTCAGAGCAGGGTGATGAACAAGTGGTCGCTTGGACTCTGTAAGGGCAATGAACGTAAGGTTGATTCTGGTTGCTTTTTCCTTATATGACAGCCAAGATACCTTGAACCTGTTGACAAATGTAGCCACTATGTATGTGTTAATATGGATTGGATATTATACAACCTTTCAAGGAACTGCCTTAAGGATGTGCAGAAACCAGACTGTGGTTTTCGAGGAATGCCGGTTCAAGTTAACTCTGATAGTTGTTGCCCAGAATGGGAATGTCCTTGTAAGTCACTGTTTTTATTTTTAAATACAACATAGAGCCTTGATCTGTAAATTTCAAGTAATAAATTAAGGGTTTATTACAGTGGGAATATGAGGTTGAATACTGACATGAATTTAAAAGAACTGTTCATCAGCAAAACAGAATAAAATATACTGAAACTTTTGGTATCTTTGAATTCAAGAGAGTCAAAATATTTTCTTTTGAATCAAAAGATTGAAACGAAATCTGCAACATGAACATCAGCATATTCCAGCTGACTCTCTTTTCAGAATTTCTATCAGTGGAAATGTTCAGATTTCAACATTTTGTGAAGGAAACAAATTAAATACTGTCATTTCTGCAAGACAGAACCCCCAAATTTCAGTTAGCTCTAACTGCAGTTTTCACTCATACTCAGAAACTACAGAAACTGGCAGATGGCTGTCAGCCAAGGGAACAAAAAAGCCACAAAGGAGTCATATTAATAACATTGCAGCGTTATTGAAAACCATATTGCACTTTTAAATATCTGTCTCAAGATAGGACAGATCCGCATCTTGTTATCAGTAGCTCAAAATTGCATACATTTTAATGCATGTATTTTATTTCACAATGTACTGATTCAATGACCTTGACTGTAAAATATTGACTTAAGTGAAAATTTTCACCAATTTAAACTTTTACTCTGGGCACATAGCTTAATAGGTTAAACTATTTCCACTGAGTAATGTAAGACACTTCCTTCTGCTTTTGGTTCAGTATGCTGTCTGCAGAGCAAGGTCATCAGTATATATATATGAACATTCAGAGGGAGAGAAAGCAAATATTGCTAAATTGGAAGGTTTTTAGAAATGCCCTGTATATGGTTTTGTGGTAATCTCATTAAACGACAGTTCTTTTTTAGGTCAATGTTCTGTACTGTCTGAACTGAGTGTTATCACATTTGATGGAAACAACATAGCCCTCTGTAATATGGCTTCCTACATTTTAGTCAAGTTACCAGGAGAAATTATTGTTGCTCATATTGAAAAATGTCCTGCTAATCAGGTAAGATTCTTGCATTTGTGCAATAATTGTCATAGTTTCTTGCATTTTTGTGTTATAAGACTGAAATTCTGCTAAACTTTATCAATTAAAACTTACAGATAAAAGCCATACCCTTTGAAAAATGGCAAGTTATTTAATATTCAAGGAACATGTTAATCATGCTCTCTAGATCAAAGAATTTTGTCTCAGGTTAAACAGTAATTGTTGTATTATAACGAAATTCAAATGTAGGTTCCTTTTAACTTAATTAGGGTGACGTAGCTTCTGTATCTGCATGTCTCCATTCAGGTTCTCCACCTACAAAGCTTCCCGAGGACTTGAATTTATAATTTACAGTATGGCAAAAATACTAAAATACTTTGAATAGCCACTGAAATCTGTTGTAGTTATTTTAGGAAGGTATTAATCGATTGTTTTGGGATTAGTGTAAAGAGCTGTCCTTTGTAGTTGTCCAACTCACTGCATTGCCTACAGAGGGGATCCAGCCACTTTATTTTTAGACTGTCAGTTTAGGTCAGGTCAGTCTCATCCTTAGGGTCTTTGCATACCCCTCCTTTGCACTGTCCATACTCCTAATTTATGTAGCCCTTGAACAACTGGCTTACATTTCCATCTTCGGTTTGTGGATAAAGAAGTTCCTGATGAGGAACTCCATCAGGATTCTTTCCTTTCCATCCTTACTTGCTCTCTTATGTACTCTCACTGGGGGAACCGTACACATGAATTTTAAGTCCCGAGTCTTACACTGTTTTAGAGGTTTTCTTTTAAATTTCTCCCTTCACTGTTTCTTGGTTGCAGACTAAAGGTGTGAACACAGCTCATGGAAGCAGATGTGCTTTAGAAGTCTGCAGCTGTGGTTCTCTAAGAAATACTTTTTGAAAGGGCCTTGCAGCATATGCTAAATCTTGTGATACTGATAATGAGTTGCTTTCAATGTTAAAGCTGTTCAGCTAAAAGCTAGCTGAGGTACGGTATGTATGAGCTACATCTTGTGCAGGAGGATGCCTTGGTAAAGTAGCAGTTTTATCAGAGTTAGGGCAGCAGATTTTATTGGCATATCTGTTGTATTTTTAATTCAGCTTGTTCAGGTTATGGTGTTATCTTTTCTGTCTTATTTTCCACATAAATCCCTTTGATTTAAATCTTTAACAAGCAAATCAAGTTTCTAAAAATAGTTCATACAAAGTTCACAAAAATAATTCACAGAAAGCTGCATTAGCTGGGAAATGTGTATTTTTATTATTTATAAGGAATATATTAAATTAGTTCAATTATACAGTTGGTTGTAGAACTTAAAGAAAACAGTCAACCTATTTTTGCCGAATAAGAATGCTGCTGATTATTATTACACTTCTAATCTCTTTCTAATGTTTTTCAGAGTGCAAATTCAATAAGAAAACTAGTGAGTACTTTTTTCTTTTACTAATTATAAAACACGTCATTATTGAACATCTTAAAAAAATTCCCATGGCACTGGTACACAATTAGAAAATAAATAGTAACTGAACTTGTTTGTCACTTTTCTTTTAAGGTTCCCCCTGCAAGCACTTCGGGGCTCTGTTTTAAGAAATTAAATGTAACAACAGGCACATATCAATTACTTATCAATCGTTTAGCAAGAAAAGTGAGTATATGTCATGTATATATCATGTGCACACTTAAAAGATAGCTGAGAGCTCATTCTGTTGTAGAATGCAATAGATTAGATTTATAATGAATGCACTGTAGGATTAGGATTACTTTGCTGGTCAGGTTCCCAGTAATTCATAGTATGCTAGAAGCAAAGAATATATATTTCTGACACCATGCTCCACTTATATGCCATTTATCCAAAATGAAACTTCAAAGCTCTTTTGAGATTTTAGAGAAGCTGCAAAAGCATTTATACTTGAGATGTATTTCCAGAAAACCCAAACAGAAATGTTCCAAAATGTGATAAATACTTCAGGTGCCTTTCCTGGTAGTAACAGGTGAGAACAGATAACTTTGAATAAATGAATGCGGGTGGAGGTTTTTTGTTTTATCATATGATATATGATAAGTAAGATTTATTGCTTCTGTAATTAGAAAAGATTTCTGTATCTTTTTTTCTTATGCCTACTTCATTTGCCACTATAGGAAATGGCACTGACAGGAAGTTCTGTGACTTAAGCACTGTGTCTGTTATTGCATGCGGCAGAGGCTGTAAAAAATATCTTTTGTTATAAAATGTAGAGACATAAAATGCATCTTTGCCATCTGTTTTTATCTCTAAACCATATTTGGTTTATTTTAGGTGGTAGTGGATTCTGTAGTTCAATCATTACCATTTTCAAAAGAAGGACTGAGTATTCAGGATACTGGTGCAATATATATTGTCAATACCCCAGCTGGTATTAGCATCAAGTGGGCTCACATTACAGGCATCATCGATATACAGTATGGATTACACTCTAACACATCCATGAAGACAGAAGGACTTTGCGGTGAGGCTATGACTTTTTTATGTTTAATAATTTCCCACTTAAAATGTACACCTGCCTTTTGTGTCTGTGACCTGCTGTCCCTATAGCTATCCTTGTGACCTCCATTAACTACACTGACAATCCTATTTGAGGTTGTTTGTGAAATTCTATTAATAATAGTAAATCAGTAGCTCTGTTTCAAAGCACTCTGTTTTGCAGAGCAAGGAATGATCATTACACTGTACCTAATTAACTTTAAAAAACTGTACTCATCACTGCCTGCATTTAAGAATATTGTTGAAGTCAGGTAAAGAAAAGGGTAAAATTTTCAATGGAGAACTGGCTGCTGAAGAAGTTCAGGTAGTGACAGTATATTTCAGTGATTATGAAAGAAAAGGATAACAGATGTTAGCAGTGGCAGCTTATCAGTATGCAAATACTGATAAAAGGCATATTTTGGGAAGGGTCCAAGTCCCCTGAGGATAGTGAATCCAAACGGAGATCTGTTAAGGTTGGATCTAGGGTCCAAAACTGTGCTGACATGTCTCAGACTTACAGTGATACTAAATTGAGCATGTTTCAGGCTTCCCTGATTGCCTTCTTATAACTCTAACTAGTAGGAATTATATGGAAAATTGTAAGCAAATATTTGAGTAACTCTAATTCTATCATGTATGCTCACTTTCTGGTGCATTGTTATTTTGCAGTCTACCCCAAATTGAACAGGAAAATGCAATTTTTATAGTATTTTAAATTGCTTTCAGTTTAAAAAGCAAACAAAACCCAATACAGGTATGGTTTAAATATAGCTGTAAACAAAAGAAGTTGAAAATCAATTGCTATATTCTGCTTGAATGAAAGTTGTCCTAGATCTACTGAGAGAAGGTGAATGCTGGCTCTGCATCTTTTTCCAGTATCATGCCATCTTCTCCGTGCACACTGAAAAACATTGGGATAAGATGTGGTAGGAAGGTAGGATGTAGGAAGGATTATAGAATAGTTACTCGTGCCATGGAAAGAAAGAGGAAGACTCTGCAGACAAATCCAATCTCTGCTGTGAAGTGTTGCTCTACCTGATATTTTGACATGAAGTCTGAAGCCTCTTTTAGCTCTTCTTTTCTATTCTCTGCCTTTTGTTCCTGTCTGGGATTCTCCCATCCTCTCCTTCTCAAACTGAAAAAACTGTGGGACTATGTGGCACAATGGCTTTATTTTTAAAGCTGTACTTTTTAGCATCACCCTACAAATTCTAACACCACCACAATTTGTGGGATGGCATTAGGGCAGCAGCAAGAAGCAGAAGCGTTAAGAATATTGGAGAATGGTGCTACCATCAAATGCTCCTTATGCAGATGCCACCTTCTGTGTTTTTCCATGCTGCCGAGAGTAACAACCTGAAATGTGAGGCTAACCCAGTCCTACAAGGGACCCTGGAGGGTATCAGGATACAGGGCTGGAAGCATGAAGGCAAGCACTTACGGTGTGGTTAGCAATGTGGAAAGAAAGTGAAAAAGGATAAAGGAACCTTGGTTAATTAGTTGTTGGGATGTAAAACACTGTTATGGATATTAAAATTTTGTCACTAAAGGCTTGTTACATTGCCGTGGTTTAAGCCCAGCTGGTAACCCAGAACCAAGTAGCCACTTGCTTACTCCCCCTATTCCCCACCCCCACTCCCGGAGGGATGGGGAGGAGAATCAAAAGAATGTAACTCCCACTGGTTGAGATAAGAACAGCCCAGTAACTAAGGCATAACACAGATCACTACTGCTACCACCAATAATAATAATGATAAGGGAAATAACAAGGGAAGAGAACACAACCGCTCACCACTCGCCAACAGATACCCAGCCTGACCCAAGCAGTGATCTCGCCCTTCCGGGTAACTGCCCCCAGTTTATATACTGGGCATGACGTGCTGTGGTATGAAATACCTCTTTGGTCAGTTTGGGTCAGGTGTCCTGTCTCTGCTTCCTCCCGGCTTCCCCTCCTCCCTGGAAGAGCATGAGGCTCAGAAAGTCCTTGGTCAGAGTAAGCATTACGGAGCACCAACTAAAACCATCGGTGTTATCAGTGCTGTTCCCAGACCGAAAGTCAAAACCACAGCACTGCACCAGCTGCTGAGGAGGAAAATGACTGCTACTGCTGAATCCAGGACAGCTTATAGGAAGATATGTTTTCATTGATTAATCAACAGAATACATACAGTAATGAATTCAGGTAGCCAGCAGATTTCAGGGGTTTAGGTGGAGTTTTTTTTCAGTGGTTTTCTTTCCCAAAGGAAGTAATATGGCATGTTTGTTTGTACTTTGAATGCGATGCTCTGTCCCCAGGGGTGTGTAATGGAGACCCTACTGATGATCTGAAAATGCAAAACAGGACCATAATTACAAACATGGAGGAAATTGAAGTGTTCATTAGGAGTTGGGAAATTGAGAAATCACTTGATGTAACAACCCGGAGGCCACTAAGAAGCTGTACTGAAGATAACTGTACATACTGTATGGGACTGTTAAATGGAAGCACTTTCATCCCTTGTCATAAGAAAGTGAGTATGAAGATCAGAGAAATTCCAGGTGCAAATTAAAGATTTATAGTTAAGAAAAGAGCAAGAGAGATATGTATATTTTTTATGTATTGCTTATTTCCATGAGCTGACAACTGGACCGGTGGCTTTAATACCTCTATCATTTTGGCTTTAATACTCTTGTCATACTGTCTGTTGTAAACATACATCTATATGGATCCTTGTGCTATTATGGTCTTAAATTATTTAGTAGGAAAAGCTCAAAGGAGAGACATCAGATCACCATCTCAACAGAAGAACATTCCAAATAATAATTCAATTTTTAATAAATGCTTGACACGGGTCACTAGAAAAGAAAGCCTCATGCTTCTGCTGCATACATCAGCAACTCATGCAGCCTGAAACTGCTTGAACTGAAGATGTTTCCAGTTAAACAAATTTTGATATACTTACTATTATGTTGACAATTTGGTAACATTTCTTACAGAAAGCATTATCTTTTGTTTCTGGGCACTGTACTTTCTAATAGGGGTATTAGCTGTAGCACACAGACTGCCACTAGAGGTGGGTAGTGCAGCACAGCTGCTTTCCTATATAAGGAACCCTATATAAGGAATTACTTTCCCCAAGTAATACAAAGTGAAAGGATTAATTACTTAAGGGGCCCATTCCTTCTCAGAGATAGATGTGTCCAGATTCCTGATTCACTTCTTGATGTTCTGCCTTTCCATCATTGGTTTGTATTGTGATACTCTTCAGTTTTCATCACAAATACTGTTAAAGGTATTGCAGGCAGCTGAGCCCCTTCCTTCAAACTTCCAAGCCCTCTCCCCACTTTCCACAGGTAGAAAAAATTGATGAAGTTCTGAAAGGAAGGGGTTAAAGAGTTTTGATGTTTATTTATTTGTTTGTTTGTTTGTTTGAAGATTAACTAACAAGGAGGGTCTGGTCGAAGCAGTAAAGGTTGAGGGCTGCCTTGGTTGCAGCGACCACGAGATGGTGGAATTCAGGATCTTGTGTGGTAGGACCAGTAGAATAGCAAGTAGAATTGCAACCCTGGACTTTAGCAGGGCAAACTTTGGCCTTTTCAAGCAACTGCTAGGGGAAAACCCATGGGCAAGGCTGCTTGAAGGTAAAGGGGCCCAAGATAGTTAGTTGGCATTCAAGGATTGCTTTTTCCGAGCTCAAGATCGGAGCATCCCGACACGTAGGAAGTCAAGGAAGAGGGCCAGGAGACCTGCGTGGTTAAATAGGGAATTGCCGGGTATGCTCAAGTGGAAGAGGAGAGTTTACAGGTCATGGAAGGAGGGGCTGGCCACTTGGGAGGAATATAAGGCTGCTGCTAGAGGATGTAGGAAGGCAGCTAGGAGGACTAAGGCCTCCTTAGAATTAAATCTGGCGAGAGGGGTCAAGGACAGCAGAAAGAGCTTTTTCAAATACATGGAAGATAAAACTAACACCAGAGGCAATGTAGGCCCACTGACGAACGGGATGGGTCCCCTGGTGACAGAAGATACAGAGATGGCAGAGTTACTGAATGCCTTCTTTGTCTCTGTCTACTCTGCTGCAGGCAGTCCTGAAGAGCCCTGTACCCCGGAGACCTTAGATGAAGTCAGGTCAACGGAGCGGTTTGCCTTAGTCGATGAGGAATGGGTTACAGACCGGTTGAGCAATCTGGACATCCATAAATCCATGGGTCCAGATGGGATGCACCCGCGGGTGCTGAGGGAACTGGCGGAAGTCATTGCTAGACCACTCTCCATCATCTTTACCAAGTCTTGGGAAACGGGAGAGGTGCCTGAGGACTGGAGGAAAGCAAATGTCACTCCAGTCTTCAAAAAGGGCAAGAAGGAGGACCTGGGTAACTATAGACCTGTCAGCCTCACCTCCATCCCTGGGAAAGTGATGGAACACCTTATCCTTAGTGCCATCTTAAGGCATATCAAGGATAAGAGGGTTATGAGGGGCAGTCAACATGGCTTCACCAAGGGGAAATCATGCTTGACCAATCTCTTAGCCTTTTATGAGGAAATAACATGGTGGATGGATGATGGCAGAGCGGTGGATGTGGTCTACCTTGACTTCAGCAAAGCATTTGACACAGTCTCCCACAGCATCCTCACAGCTAAATTGAGGAAGTGTGGTCTGGATGATCAGGTAGTGAGGTGGACTGTGAACTGGCTGAAGGAGAGAAGCCAGAGAGTTGTGGTCTATGGGGCTGAGTCTAGTTGGAGGCCTGTATCTAGTGGAGTGCCTCAAGGGTCAGTACTGGGACCGGTATTATTTAATATATTCATCAATGATTTAGATGAGGGAATTGAGTGTACTATCAGAAAGTTTGCTGATGACACTAAGCTGGGAGGAGTGGCTGACACGCCAGAAGGCTGTGCTGCCATCCAGCGAGACCTGGACAGGCTGGAGAGCTGGGCAGGGAATAACGGGATGAAATATAACAAGGGAAAGTGTAGAGTCCTGCATCTGGGCAGGAACAACCCCAGGTTCCAGTATAGGTTGGGGAACGACCTGTTAGAGAGCATTGTAGGGGAGAGGGACCTGGGGGTCCTAGTGGACGACAGGATGACCATGAGCCAACACTGTGCCCTTGTGGCTAAGAAGGCCAATGGCATCCTGGGGTGTATTAGAAGGGGGGTGGTTAGTAGGTCGAGAGAGGTCCTCCTTCCCCTCTACTCTGCCCTGGTGAGACCCCATCTGGAATATTGTGTCCAGTTCTGGGCCCCTCAGTTCAAGAAGGACAGGGAGCTGCTGGAGAGAGTCCAGCACAGGGCAACCAAGATGATTAAGGAAGTGGAGCATCTCCCTTATGAGGAAAGACTGAGGGAGCTGGGTCTCTACAGTTTGGAGGAGACTGAGGGGTGACCTTATTAGTGTCTATAAATATATAAAGGGGGAGTGTCACGAGGATGGAGCCAGGCTCTACTCAGTGGCAAACAATGATAGGACAAGGGGTAATGGGTACAAACTGGAACACAAGAGGTTCCACTTAAACTTGAGAAGAAACTTCTTCTCAGTGAGGGTGACAGAACACTGGAACAGGCTGCCCAGGGAGGTTGTGGAGTCTCCTTCCCTGGAGACATTCAAAACCTGCCTGGACACATTCCTGTGTAACCTTATCTAGGTGTTCCTGCTCCAGCAGGGGGATTGGACTAGATGATCTTTTGAGGTCCCTTCCAATCTCTAGCATACTGTGATATTAGTCACAGAAACTTAATGGGAGGGAGCAGTGATAAGCAGTTTGGAATCAAGAAGGGAGAATAGCACCAGCCGGTAGCAGAATGCTTTTCATAACTGTTTTAACACATCTCATTTGAAAATAAATAAAGGGAATCTGAATAGTCAGAATTCCTACTTCATAAATGCTTCCAAGAGAACTCTCATAGCCACAAATACAGTACAATTGCATCTTTTACTAGTTCATAGCAAAACATGACACAGCATCAAAACTGCCAAGGACTTTCATCCGTTAGGAAATTTGTTTTCTTTCACATACATGATGGAGGTAGAGCCAGAGTGGATAAAGCAAACTGGACTCTTCACAGGCATGAAGCAACTGGACAAAGATAGGAAACAATCATCAGGGCAATTAACTTTATGGCAAAGTGAGTGACTGCTTGAAGACTGCTGAAACCATAGGGAAATCTGGGCTGCAGCACCATAGTAAACAGGAAAAATCTGACTTTTCCACCTTTTTACAAGCCTGTAAAAATAAGAACAGAAAAAAGATTGGTTGCACCACCTGCATTCAGACCCAATAGGCACAGGCTATTGGGTCTTCTGCAGACACAGAAACAGAGCACTCAGTAATAATTCATTCACAGCAGGAATTTATGGAAGGTATAGCAGCAAAGCTTAGCTGAGATTGTTGACTTCTAGGTGATAGGGCGGTAACTGCGAAAGTGGTGTGACAATGTCATTAGGGCTGTCTTCTTTGCCTACTAATGAGTATAAAAAAATTCTGTCAGTTGAAGTTTTGCAGAATGAGTGTTCTGGAAAAAAATGCATTTTTTTTGGCTTCAGACAATGCTCATGATTTTTTTCCCTTGCAGTTGTATTATTTCTTGTAATTAGTGATTTAATTGCAGAAAGCTCTTCCACTTGTTAATTCTCAATTACAATATGTTCCCAGGTGTCACCACAGGAGTTTTGTGAGAAGATGTGGATCAACAGCACCAATTTTTGGAATTATGAGTGTGATGCACTTTCTGCATATGCGGCTTTATGCAACAAGCACAACATCTGCATTAAATGGAGGACACCTGATTACTGTTGTAAGCAGATAGCTATGTTCTATACCCCAGAGTGGCTTTATACTGCTGCAGTGTTTAGTGATGAGTTAAAAATATTCTTTTTCTATTGTTATTGTGAGTATCATCTCATTCTATCACAGCATTAGTAAATCAGGGTAAAAGTTATTAAGATGTATTGTTTAAGTCAAAGTATCATGAATCAGTTTTAATCTTGATTGAATTAGTTTCTTAAAATACTGTTAGAAATATAAATGCATGCTTTCTATGATACACTTGCTTGTTCTTACTACCTGTTAGTCCAATTAAATGCTAAAAGAACAGCAGCACTCACTGCCTTTTTTTTATTACTTGCAGCACTGAGTTGTCCCGAGGGCAAGGAATACCAGCCTTGTGTGCAACCCTGTGAAGCCAAGACATGCTTGAATAAATGGTTCTATGAAGATTCTCCCTGTTCCTACTTAAGGGAGGACTGTGTTTGTAGAAATGGCACTATTCTGCATAGAACAGACTCTGACCTCTGTATACCAGAAGAAAAATGTAGTAAGTGCTGCGGGAGAGGGCAGTTTCGTAGATATGTTAATATTAACTGCAGCTCACGAGAAGTGATGTTTTAAGTTCCCTGCCAGTCCTCAGTAAGTGTGATGTTGTATAGCTCCCTTCAACACAGCCTTCACCTATCTCTCCAGTTTGAGCTTTCAGTGCACTTGGATTCAAGAGCCAATGGTGATGTACTTCTGTCAGGGAAAAATAATGGTCATTCTTTCATAGCACCCAGGTTTTCTTTCCTAGATTACTCAGGAAGGAACAGCATGAGCAGGTTCTTTCCCTCACACTCAGTATTTATTTTCACCCATAGTGAAGTCTTTGTTCATTTGGACTTTTTGAGGTCATCATCTTTTCTTGGATTCCTTGATCATAATGCTCCACAGTATTCTTATTTTATGCAATGCTTCTATGGAATTCATAGTTGCTTGCAGGAAATCTGCACTCTCTATTTAATAAAGGGATATAATGTTTTTTCTCTCAGCATGTACAGATAACAAAGGACAACCCCGCTCTGCTGGGGAGATCTGGAATGGGTCCATGAGAGGCTGTTGCATGTACAACTGTTTAGAAAATGGAAGCATTGTTGCTGTAGAACCTGAATGCAATGAGGATCCACTACCGGTCTGTGAAAGAGAAGGGGAAGTTATTGTCCATGTCATCGAAGAAAGAGCTTGCTGTCCAAAGAAAGTTTGTGGTATGTACCACACTTATTTTCAGTAACAGAAGTATAAGATTAAGTGCTTGACATTCAGTGGCAGAGGATGATCTTTAGACAGGGGTCCAAGGTAGCATTTTTCAGAAGTGTTTTTTAGGTACTTGCAGTTGCTTGGGCCAGCAAAGCAGGCTGCTTTACTTTGTAAGAACTGACTCACTGAAATAATATATTTTTCTCATTCTTGGAAGTCTTCTTGTGAAACAAATCTTCTGTTTAAAATGAATTTTGAAGCTCTTCAGTTGAATTTCAAAATAAATTAATAAATACTTGATGATAGAAGTAGTTTGGTAATTGGGGCAGTCATCAGAGCCTGTTCACTTTTCTTATTAATGCTTTGGTATCAAGAGCAGTATCCTCTGACCTACTGCTGTTTCACAGAAGCAGTATTCTGTGAGCTGGTCACTGAATACTAATATTTTGTCTAGCCACGGTCAAGGAATAAGCTCATTGCTCCTAAAATGTTAATTAAAAGATGCTAATTTCTTCATAACATCTTCAAGTAAAATCAGCACAGTCAAACTGATATGCTTTTGCTCATTGCACACCTGTAACCAACACAGAACTGTGAATTTGTTAAGGGAGTATTTTCACTGAGACATTTTAGCTGGCTTCATGTGTAGGAAGCAGTGTAGGCAAATACCTGCTTTAAGAGGGATATAACTGTGCTTGCACCGTGCCACGTGGTTGGAGTTCCACCAGCCCTAGGTTGAGCTTGGAGGTCTACAGGATGGTATGGAGTACACTTTAAGCTGACTTGGGCTGCTTGTAGTTTGTGAATCTCTATACTGAATGGTATATACATCTTGAGATATAGAACTTGCACTCATATCTGTTCAAATGTGTCAAAATTGTTTTTTTATCCCACAGAATGTAACATCTCATTGTGTGACACCATTATTCCAACATGCAAACCCAGTGAAAAATTAGTGGCAGGTTACCATCCCCTGTCCTGCTGTCCACAGTACCGATGTGGTAAGGGAAACACAAACACACAGTTTCTGGGACATTTTCCACACTTGTAATATATGTTGTACGAAAACCTGCCTTACAAGTTGTTAACAGAGTGAGACACTGTAAATGGCACCAGGCAATGACTCTTTTTTTTTTCCACATGCCAATATTTTCTTGTGTTTGTCTTTTGTGTCACTTTTGATTTACAGATAATTTGGGGTAGATGAAGAATATCTTTTATCTATCCTTTTAGTATTATTTCTGTGTCTGTTTTTAGAACAGTGTTTATTTCACATCCTGCAGAATGTGATCCTTCAGCTTGTTTCAATGCTTCCCACCTGGACTGCAGAGAAGATCAATTTATTGTGGAAGCAAAACAGGAAGATCCCTGTTGTTTCTCTTACCTCTGTGGTAAGAATCCTCTAATATTTTTTATGATTAACTAAGGAATAGTGAAGTATTTACAAAACCAGTCTATAGTTCTAAACCTAATCATTTAAGTCAGGAATTCATGTAGAGGTCAGTGGGATTTCACACAGGTCAGGCTGGCTAAAGCATAAGTTATTCTTCAGTTTTGGGATCTTTTTTTCAAACATAATTTTGAACATACTACTTGAACTTTGTTATGGTTTTATATTTGAATGTCAATCCATAAAAGCTCTGTTATCCAAGTAACAAACATAATATGACTTGTTATATAGCTTATTATATGGAAGCCACATGTGCTAACTTTTTAGTATTGAAAACTTTGCTTTTTTTTTAATTTAGTTTGTGAATCCTGTATTGAGCCTGTTCCCTTGTGTAATGAGGGGGAAATTCTCACTGTAGACCTTAATACCATACATTACTGTTGTCCTCATTACTACTGTGGTGAGTACAATTTTTTATCAGTTCAATTCGTTACCAAATTCAGTAAATATGACAGACTCTGTGTGTGGAAATTCAGCATTTAGGGTGGGCTGCAAGAGAGATTAAGAGATCTAAATTAGGGTGTTCGCATAGAGGTGAGCTCAGATTTCTTGGTATACTCAGTGCTGGTCTAACCAACCCAGTCAATAGAGTCTGGAAAGGTTATTTAATCCACCAGAGAGAATATAGGTACTTTCAGGGTGATCTAAGTAATGATATATTGATGTGGAACTGAATCCCATCCTTGGAGTATAAATATACAGTTGTTCACATACTAAAACACCTGCTATAAAACAGATTCCATATTGTTGTTCCTCTGTTGTACCATTCGCTAGTGTTTAGGTAGTTTCTTTGCAGTTTTAGCTTTTCTAAAAGCTAAAGGAAGCAATAGGCCAAGGGTTTCAAATACTGCTGGGTTGACTATTATTCAAAAAAGAAACAGAAGAAAAATATTTGCAGTTTAATGTGGTCTTTGGTAGCCTCATAAAACCATAGAAATTGTGCTGTGTGTTCTTAAGTAATGTCTACATGTGTAACTGCTTGATTTAGATTAACTCTTATCTTGTTGGTGTCTGAGTAATTTCAATTAATTAAGTAGTCTTCCAGCAAGTCTGAAGCTTAGTAATTTTTACTTCAGCTGGTTCCATATTTTGGTCCTTACCTTTTCCTTGCACTTGCACCCAGGTTAAAGTTTCTGCAAAGGGCCTTTGGCACTGTTTTTGCCAAATTCTGGCAGGTAGAAAGTTAGATCTTAGTATGTGGTCATCTTTCAGAGCCCCAGTAAGCCACTTCCAATAAGGCAGGCATATATTTGCTTACTGGAGTCATCCTAGGAGGGCAGTTGCTCCTGTTATCTTACAGAAGTGTGCTTTACAGCACATTTGTAGCTGGTCCTAGTTATCAGCTTGAGTGACTCTGAAGTAAGAGGAATATTAAATGATTCCTGTGTGAAGTTTTCTGAAAATTTCGACATGTTTTAAGGCTACTAAAAGCATTTTTTAAAATCGTTCTTTATTTTTTAAGTTCCAAATATAATTCAGATGCTTAAGAAGCACAATAAAAAATAGTTAAGATGTCATTAAAATAGTTCATCAAGGAAATACAAGCCAGAAAATTCAAAGGAAATTTGAGAAATGTGTCTCATATGTTTCTTCTCTCCCTGTCCCCTTTAGTTTGTGATGAAAATCTTTGCTCTGAGCCTCCTATGAATTGCACAGATGAAATGACACTTGTGAAGGAAAAAATACCTGGGCAGTGTTGTCCAGAATGGCACTGTGGTAATCATTGCTTTATTCCTTAGTCACTGCTGGTAACAAAAGCTAACAAGTAGATAACTGACTACCATGGGTTTCTTGTTTTCTTTTCAGAATGTAGCTGTGAAAACGCTACTATGCTGACCTGTAAACTGGTAAGCACTGTCCTTTAGATAATTTTATTAATGGTGTTCAACCCTCTTACTCCTCCCTTTCTATTCCTTGTTTCAATTAGTTTTAAAGGCTGTTGAGGCTGAACAGGGACAGGCATGTAACTCGAAGCATCTGCACAGTATTGTCAAATATTCCTTGGGGAAATTTCGCCTTGTGTGTTATAAGATGTCAAAAGAAGAAAAGCAACTGCAGTATTATTCTGTTCAATGTTGACTCAAAATATGCTGGGAAGGTTTTCCATGTAAATAAACCCAATTATTTTTAATAATTAATGAGGAATAAGCTTTATGATCATATATATAATCTGAAGAAATATGTTATTTTCTTAATCCTTTATGCTTTTGATTAAAATGATTTAACATCACTGAATTTAACTGTTATGAGAAGCCATAAATATTTTGCTCCTCATATACCTTCTCATAATAGGGACTGTGATCTGGAAAACAATTATGAGTGAATGTTCAAATTCCCATTATTACTGCAGTGATGGAGATATGTTCCCTATCAAATGCCTGTCGCTTGACCTTCTCTTTTTCCTTATGTGAAGGCTAAATAATGTAAAGTCTGAACAGAAGTTGCAAATTTGAATAGCTATTACCTAGCTTTTGGAAGAAAATTCATAGAAGGTAGTCTGTTGCTGCTATGTTTATTACTGACATAACTTTGTATCTAGGAAAAATTGCTCTTCAGTGACTCTGTTATTCAAATGCATTCTTTTTGCTCCTGTTTAAAGTGATAAATACATCTAATAACTCTGTGCTACTGTTTCTTAAGTACGTTGAAATTTTTCTCTTTTATGAAAGCAGGGGTGGAAGTGATGAAAGTGATATTTTACATTTTAAAGAAAAAAAAATGTCTGTTTAGCACTACATTTAATTGTCTATGACTTTGCAAACTCTTATCTTTTTATCCTCAGGGAGAAGTTAAAAAAATAGATAGTAATGTTTCCAGTGCTTGTGGATGCACTCACTACATTTGTGGTAACTTTTTTCATATTCTTAGCTGTTTTAGTTTAGTTTTTAGCAAAAAAAAGTCATGCAAAGAAAGCATTATAGGGCCATAATAACTTTCTCAAGCATAAACACTCCTTTAACTTCATTTCATGGGTGTCTACTTAGTTATGCCAGTACACTCTCTTTTTGGAACACCATGCTTTTTGTGTCTGTTCTGGTGGGGTGTAGGAGTGTCATAATGCTGCCCTTGCTTTCAGAGTCAGGCATGGTCTGTCTGGTGGGAGGCAGACAGGGTGCAGATTGTGAACCTTAGCTGAGTGTGAGCAGTGCGAGTGCTGCTAGTTCAGTATCGAGCACTAATGAGACATCTCACACCAGAGCAACAGACCTGTCCAGCACAAAGGTAGATACGCTGTCTTAAGATCAGACCTCTGCTCCCTTCCCTTACTCAGCTACCCTGTATAGACTAGATTTCAGCTGTGCTGTGCATGGGGGTGCTTGCTGCCCACTGCAATCCTGACTGCAGCCCAGGCTGAAGTGCCTCTGTGAGCAAAGCACATATTTACAATACAGCTTGAGGATATTACTGTCCCACAGGTAATTGTAGACATGCTAGTTTAACAGACAGAAAGGCTACATTTTGTGATGTGCAGAATGATTCATATAGCATATGTAGCCCAATGTTAAATATTAGGACTCTTTAAAAATAAGACCAACACTTTTTTTTTTTTTTAAATTCCATAGTAGGAACACTATTGACTTTATACAGTTTTGCATTTTGCAGTGTTTCCTTAAGCTGAATTACACCTCTCCCTCATCTGTTCCCTCCCACCCCCCACCCCCCCATCTGATAAATAAACCACAAACCAATCAAGTCTAAAAGTTAGAATGCTTTTGCAGACCACAGGACTTTGCCTTCTGTTTGTGTACACAATGATTCTGTTGATTTGCCTGATGATTTTTTTTTTTTTCCCATTCTGGTAACATTTATTTCTTTTGGTGTTAGAGAAGGATGATGTGTGCATCTTCCAAGAGGTCACGGTACTGAATCCTGGACAGTCAGTGATTCAGTTCTTGGGTGGAGACCTTTGTTACACTGTACAGTGCTTACAAGAAAAAGATCAGAACACAGGATACAATGCAATGCATTTTACAATGGTGAACTGTTCCCAGCAATGTGAAGCTGTGAGTACTCTTAGAATACAGGAATGATGCAATTTGTGAGCTCAACTACACCATAAGTCACAAGTGAAGACTTTGCTAGTCCTGTTTGCTAAGTAAGAATTTGAGAACTTAACAGTGATGAGTACCTTGAGTCTCCAGGATTCTTTTGAAAGGTAATTTCTAGCAGCATATGTGTTTACAAAACACCTTTTTTCCTTTTTTTGTTGTTTTCCTTTCTTTCCAGCATCAAATATACATTCCTTCCTCCAGTCACCATACTTGTTGTGGTACCTGTCAAGACATGTCCTGCTCTTTTCACACTGAGAATGGAACACTAATCATGTATGAGGTAAGGACCTCTGGACAGAGATAGGAAGTAACTATAATGATACAATAAACAGGTGTCTGACAGTCGCTTCTTAGTTAACTCATGCTGTGAGCCTTGCTTCATACCTCCTTACTGCTGGTTACATGCTCAGGAACTATTTGTGGTATATGATGGGAAAAAAGTGTGTTATTTAAAGACCTGCTATTTCACACTAGGTGAATACCTTGTTTAATTTTATTTGGTGTAAGATTTCCTGCAAAGATATATAAATATCATCATTTACTTCAGGCTGGATATGTTTTAAGTGCAGGGTAGGGTTGAAATTGTAACTCTAAGTCATATAAGGTGATCTAGATACATTGGGAGCTTCTAAGTCTGCATCGGGATTTCTATGTCCCCCTCTTCCCAGGGCCACTTTTCTCCTCATTCTGGTTTCTACAGAAAGCAAGTGTGCAAACTGAAGCACTGGGGTTTAGGATCTTCACGGTTTGTTCCAGCATTCATACAAGGAAATCTAGATGTGGTCATGATTTGGTTCATGCTTCCCATTGCTTTTAGAACAAAAGAAACTATCAGCCTTTTTTTCTGGCACAGAGTCCTTTTGGTCTGCACTAGTACACCAATGCTGAGCCGTGTTCTGGAGAGTAGAACTGTGCCTCCAGGGAGGAGTAGTCATTGGTAGTTAGAGGATGGTCTTTTCCGCCTGTAGGTGGTCTGCAACAAGCTTTTCACTCCAGTAGGTACTACAGCATGAGGGGACCACTTTCACAGATGTTTTGGGTTGGAGATAAAGCCAAAATGTTTTGTATTTCCTGACAATGGTCTTGATGTATACATTCAGGAAGGCAGCACCTGGACCTCCAACTGCACTAACTACAAGTGTGCAAAGACTGCTGCAGGGGCTGTCATACTGGGATCAAGTGTTGTCTGCCCCCCTTTTAATGACACCGAGTGTACAAAGGTTTGTACTTTGGTTGAGGTAAGTGACAATAACTGACTGGAGTCAGTTATTATTGACTGGACCTTGACAACACATGCATACTTCATACACTTTCTTTAAATTAAAAAAGTGGTAAGTAAAAACATGTAAGAGAACAATTTACAGTCTTGTTTTGACAAAATACCTGTGAGGAATACAAAAGTTTGTTTGGGTACTAACAACGATGACTGCTTTTAAAATACTGTGGAATAGGAATTATACTTGATATATCACTATACACAGTGCTAATCACTATGGTTTACTTTAGTTTGGAATAACACTTTGCCCAGTTCGTAGTATATATACACTAAATAAATTGGATCAAGCAATTCAGAAATGCTGCATATAAAAGAGGGCAATATTAAAAATTCCTGCAGTTATGCAAAGATTAGGAAGATGATAGAGTATACATAAACCTTATTATCTTTTTAACTAAACATTGTATAACATAAAAAAATTACATAATTATCTAGCATACATGAATGGGCATCTACCTACATCGTATATCTGAAAATATAAATTGGGCACAACCATAAAAACTGTTTTGAAGAATGTGAATGCTTCATGTATATTACATATTTTTTACAATTTAATTTCTAATTTAATATTTCTCTAGCTTCACATTTCTTATAATTCTTGCAGTACGCTGTATATTTAATGTAAGCTACTAATAATAATAAAAGAAATATACATGCTGAAATATACATGTAGAAATATATGAGAGATGGTAGTAGCACTGCTGCCTTGACTACAGAGTATAAATTTAGCACAGTCCTACTTATCCACTCCATTTGTTTAAGAGTCCTTATTTCTTGCAGTCCTGAAGAAGGCATTCTATCTAAAATTAATGTCTGCTCTACTTTGACTTTATGCTCCAGTTTCTTCCTTGGAACCCTTTTGTCACCATCTATTAGGATCCTTCCTTAGTAATAACCATTAAGATTTTAAAGAATGGAGCCCTAAAATTAATTTTCTGAATCATTCTGACTTGTTTTTCAGAGATGCTGAGTATAGACTTGAACCAGTAGATGAGGAGAAAACTCTTCTGTCAGGCAGCTTAGGACAATTTAGGAATATGGAGGCTGAGTTTAAGTGCTCATTTAAGAAGTCCTTGAACAACTTATTCAACATTTCTCCTGTAATTAAATGAAAAATGCATTCTAGCATGAAAAGACTGGAGCTTAACAATGTCTTTAGCCTGTCGTTACCATAAGGGTGCTATTTATGTTCAGTTGTCTGTTTGATACGTGGTTCTGGACTATGCACTAAAATTGTGGGTGCCTGTTTCTTGCTTGTTCCCATTCTGTCAGATCTTGACAGTGCCTCTTTCTTTCTCCCTCTCGCACTCCCTTTTAATCTCAGAAGGACATTTTCTTCACTTTCATACATTTTAACTTTTAGCTAGCAGGCATCTTCAGCAAAAAAAAAACAGTAACAAAGACTATAACTGAGAAAAAGAATTGAACACATCAATGGTTCTGAAATTCTGCAGTTAATGTTCCCTTTCAAAAGTGTGTATATATACATATATATATTTAATATTGTAAAAAGCTACTTATTATGTATTAATTTTTTCCTTAGCATATCCCTGGAAATCCTTTTACATCAGCAAAGTTGCACACCTCAGGTTTTTGAACTGTTCTAATAAATTTTGGCATGGGGAAATAGATGGAAGTGGATGATATAAAAAGATTCTTATAGAAACTCAGTGGCTTAGTCAAAGACACTAGATCAGATCAGATGTGCAGCAATGAGTTCATTTGCAGTGTCAAAGGCTATAAAGAATTTGTGAACCAAGCCTCCAGCTCATACATCTCTCTGTAATTCTCTTGATTTCACCGATGCTACTTTTTATTAGTTGGACATCTTTAAAACATGGAATATATTGAGATAAAATTCACCTTTGTATTGGCCACTGTTTTTTGCTATATTCTTTTTTTATTTTCCTAGAACGGAGGAATTGTGCAGATGTATAATGATGGCTGCTGCAAGACCTGTAAGTAAAAAAGGCTGCAATATGTGCTTAGTTTGGCTTTGGTTTTGGAGGGCTTGTTTTTTAACCTCACTTGCTGGGACATAAAGAAGGAAAAAGCATGCGGTCCCCCCATAAATCACATAAAATTGTTAGAGTTACCTAACTACTCCTATTAAAAGGTTTTGCTTCACTTGGCTGCTGACATGGTGATCTTTATTGTTCTGGAGTATAACCAAATCCCTCCAAATATAATCTGCTGAAGATCAGAAGTTATCTCAATTAAAATAATGAAAAGATTTTAACTTTCTTTGCAGTTTTGACAAGAAAAGTTTTTATTATCAAGGTACTTAGTTATGTGTACATAAAAATAAAAAACTGTTGTGTAAAGCTAATTGTGCAGAGCAAAAATCTGTGGAATGCCACAGGAAACCCTCCCCTCATTTTTGTCCTTTCTTGTGTTCAACATTGGAGTTAAAATATAAAAGGAAATTAGTCTTTGGTATTTTTTTAGACAAACCTTTACTTAATAATATTGCATAGGAAGTCACAGACTTATAACCATATACTGCACAGTTATTAAATATAATTCAGAAGTGAAATGAGTTGTAAATAATTTGTGATATAAGAGGAAATATTAATATTTACCAAATACACAATACTCGTTTCCAAGTTATGCAATGATTTGAAAGTGAACTGCAATTATTGTTGTTCTGTTGTATCCAAACCCTAGAAAATAAAAGCTATCTTAATACAACAGAATATATTTTTGTTTGAATGAGAATTGGCACAGAAGAGTAACACACCAGAATTGTACTAAAATCTTACTAATTATTGTTTCTTTAATGAGATAAGTTACATTTAAAAATATTTAAATACACACACCCCCAAAAATTAGGTTGGATTTAAAGCATAAAGAAGTAATGGCTACTGATTTTCTGTTGATCAAGAAGATTTATAATTTTGGCCGTATTCTGTGGCCTCAGGAAAGGCATCGTTATACTTCAGAAATACTTGCTGAGTTGGCTGCTAAAACCTCAGATATAATTAATACAATTATATGTAATCTTAATTTTATTTTCTTTTTAACTAAAAGCATGTGCCCTGTGGTGAAGCAGTTAAAAAGAGTACTTATAAATAGAGCTTGGGGTTTTAATGGGAACAAAATAATCTTTCTGAAAGTGCTTGATTCAATGCATGTAAAGTGAGTGCATATATTTAATTCTTACCTTGCCATAGAGAGACTCATTGCAAAAGTTTGATTTACAAGGAAGCATCATTTCAGTTTTGTGTTAACCAGGGGGGAAATAAAGTTTAAGCCATCTTTAGTAAGACTTGAAGTAGCTGCAGTTTCCAAATTTGGTAGACCAACAGGAAAGCTCATTGTTTTTTTGCTAAAAGAAAAATTGCAGTTGGCAGTGTAAGAATTAATGAAATGTCATTTAAATAAAAATGTTTTTGTTTCACAAGAAACTTAATATTCCTAATGATTCTGCCAGGTTCTGGATTGGGTCTATTACCCTTTGCCATTAGTCCAGTAGTGCCTACTCATAGTATTAATTGTGAACCAGGTATTATTTTTAATAATGTTATTTTCTTTTTTTTTCTAATAATAGTGTAAGCACTGCTTGATATACGTGTATAGCTGGCATCACATTAAATATCACCATGCAGTTAATGGTACTGTGCCTGATACTGAGAGATGCTGACTCCCTGTTGGTGTCCCAAATCAGCGGTGTCCTAAAGTCTGGTCAGGGTTCACTGTTCAGCACCTGTCAGAATCAGGTTCATCCATTTATGGTACATGCTGCTGATAGTTCTTGTTCATTTCTGAAATTGGTTTTAATACTGTACAGGGAGGTTGTAATTAGAAATGATATACTTTAAATATTATTATTATCCTGAATACTGTTGCCAAGAGATTCTAAGTTTGATCCCAGATCACTAATTTAGTGACTGAACAGTTTTTGCCTTAAAGTAGAGCAAGACTGCCCAATTTATCTGTGCAGATATGGATTCATTCTGTATTTCTTTTGTCACAAACATCACGTTCTCACAAAGTTATGAAAATGGGGTGGGGGGAGGGAGGGAGGGAGAGAAACATACAATTACAGCCATACATTAATAAATAATATACACTAGGAATTATGGAATATTACAGAATTGTTGCATTATGATCATAATTCGTTGCTTTTAAAGATAGATAAGTCACAGAAACTCTTTAATCAAATAAGGAGTAAAAAAAGCACACCTGCTACAGAATGCAGATTTTTTTGACAGTTGAAACTGGGAGAGAAAAAAGCATAACAGCAGAGTTTTCATTAGACATCAGCACCTTATACACCGAAAAGTGATGTATCCCTATATGAGTCGTAGAAGTACAAAGACTGCATTGTCAGCACATACTAATGCTGGCAAGCACTGTCTGATGGAATTATCATGGGACTTCTTTTTCTTATGTGCTACTGCGAAGGAAAACCCAAGATACTGTGGGCTAACAGATTCGATAGTACAGTGGTGTACTAGCTCAGCAACAGAATCTTATTTGATCCTGCAATGCGCACATTAAAATCTAGCTGTGCTCTGCAGCCAGCCTAATTTTTAAATACCCACTGGAGCTGTGGGTGCAGGATATCCCTGGTCACTCAGAGCTCATTTATCTTGTAAAAGAGCTCACAGTCTTCTGGAGAACAGAAATATTGCTCTTTTCTGAGTACACCCAGCCATGAAGGCAAGTGCTGCAGGTAGAGAAACTCTGATGGATGGTGCTTACTACTTGAGATGTTGGTTGTCCAAAATAGTTGCATAGCAAAACTAATAGGTAATTTTGATGGGAAGTGAAATAGGAGATCTAAGTAACTGCTGTTACAGAAGCAGAAGTAACAGTCTGGTATGGAGTGCAGCATGAAATACTGTGTGTTTAATTGTGTCAGTCTTATAACTTTTATTGTGTTAAAAATGGCTTTGCAATGTACAGATTTGTTTTTCAAATAAAAGGAAAATCCTCCTATCAGTATCTCCCAGAATGCACTTTAAAATTTCCCTAATCCTAGATCCATATGCTGACTCAATACTACATGCTTCAGTTCTGGTGGTAAAAACTGCACCATATTTAGCAAATATATGCATCTCTCTCCTTCAAAACTTCCTTCTTCATCTTTCTCAAAAATATATGGCATGATAGTATTCTATTTAAATTTTAAGCATTCAAAATAACATCACGGTTGTAATCACATTTACAACTCTACCTTCTTAAATGTTAAGTTCTGAAAATTTTCTTAAATGCAGAATTAAAATAGTTTACATTCAATATTCCTATTAAAAAAGAATTAATTTTAATACTATTAAAAATTATTTATGACATCTTTTTTCCAATTGCTTATATTTGTCCTGCCATAAGTGTAATTTAAAATCGTACTACTATTTTAATATTTATAAAATCTGTTTAGCTTAACGGGCCAATTGATGCTTCATATGTGCAGCTAAAAAATTGATAATTCTGCACAGGAAGTATTCCTTTTGCTTAAAAATAATTCAATTATGGAAGTCCTAGTTTCACACTATTGAAAACAAAGTATATTTATTGAATATAGCTTCACTTTTTTAGTAGCAAATGCAGTACAAAAAGTGTATTGATTCAGTATGCATTTTATGTATTTTATCAGGCAAAAAGGAAGAAAGAATTTGCCAGAAAACAACAATCAGGACAACCATAAGAAAAAGTGACTGTATAAGTCAAAGCCCGGTAAGCATAGAAGACCCGTGATGCTGGGCCTATGGCATACCAAATCAAGTATTAAGTGGGTTATAGCTCTCAACAAGCAACAAAAAAATGCTGCTATCTTCTCAGAAGCAGACCTTTGACCCTAGGAATGTTATCCTACTTGTAAATGGAGTAAAATTAGCTGTTCCTATTGGCTGAAGGCCTGAGCCCTCCCACCTGGAAAATCATCCGGCTTCAAATGAAAAGTACACAGCATAATTATAACTCACATGGGCATTGAACTCTTCACCATGAAATAACATCCTACTCTAAAAGAGGAGTAGAAATTCTTTCACTTAGGATGTGATTTCTCTTTGAATTACTGCTGCATTCCTCTTTGAAGACCTTTAATCTCTGGGTGTCTTCTCCTCCACATAGCATGTGTCTCCATATCGTAAATTCCTGATGGCATTTATTTATGGGTCTGCTTAAGACAACTTTTTTCTCAGCTTGGGTGTAGCCACATCTACAAAGCATGTCCAGGCAGCAAATGCGCTTCTCATGTAGCACTTACAGGAGAAGCAATAGGCACAGTATCTCTATACTTCCAAGAGGCCCCTGGTAAGACTGTTGAAGAGCATATACAGTCATAAAAGGCAAAATATCATTAGAAATTGAAAGCTGAGCAGGTTAATTTCCATCTTGACAGAAGGTCAACAGTGACATTCCCAAAATTTAATAGTAGAAGTAAGAGTGTGTGGTGTATTTATTTAGTTTTAGAAAGAGGACTAGTAATGAGAATTTAACTGTTCAGGAGTGAACATGAATTTAGCTGTGCTCTTTTGAAGTTATTAAATTGTAAACTAGGGATTCAGTTTTGGTATCCACAGTACAACATTTGGGTCAAGCTTAAGACAGAATACATGGTTAAATAACAACAACAAAATTTAATTTAAAAGAAAAATGTATTAAAAATGTGTCTACCCTTAGAATGAATGCATTTTAGAAGATAAAATAATTTTCAAATTAAAAATGAGTTTTTATCACAAAGAAGTTTGAAATGCAATATCCTTGTAACAAAATTTGAGATGTCTAATTTCAGTTCTTATTATACTCCTAGATAAATGTGGCTTCTTGTGATGGAAAATGCCCATCTGCAACAATTTTCAATGTCAATATCGATACCCATTTAAGATTCTGTAAATGTTGTCGAGAAAATGGAACACGTAATCTGACTGTGCCACTGCGCTGCTCAGGAAATGGCACTGAAATTATGTACGTCATTCAAGAGCCTATAGAATGCTCATGCCAATGGAACTGAACACTACTGTGGATATGATTTCATCTGTAGAAGTAAAAGGAGTTTCTTTTCACCAAACTTTTTTTGATGTTGGATAACTATAGTACAACCACAGAGATAAAAAAAACAGATGTGCTCAGTTCTGCTTTATAATGCAATTTTTCACAAATTTAGTAAAGATGATGTTCTACGTTCTTCACATTTTCTTTTGAAGTACTGGCATATATAGAAAGAAAAATATAAATAATTTTGAAAAAGGTATAATTTAGCCATCATTTATTTCTACTCAGTGGGCTTTCTGACAAGCTGTTGAAAGCTGGTTAAGGCCTGTTTCCAGTTGGATTGTGGCTATCTATTAAAGTTCAGAATTTCTCAGTGGTTCTTTTCCTTGTACTCAGAAACTTCTTGTTGTGAACCATCATTGCTCTCATGTTTAAATGGGAGTTTGATAATGACTGAATAAAATAGTGGGTTAAACCGAAACATTTTTACCTTGCGGAAAATTCTATATTTTGTCCATTAAACTGTTGTCATTGAGGGGACTATGCTTACACTGTAAGTCATTGAGAAACAACATGACTGTGGTCTGTAAGTACCTGTAGTAAATCTCCAGAGCCTATAGTAGAAGCATAATAATGTCTTTAAACTTGAGACATTAATTTAATTTTTATAAATATTATATATGTGAAGCATGACTAGCCAAAGGCTGAAGAGTTCAAGCTTTTGTGCCTTTATGAAAAATATCTGAAAGCTGTTTCTGAGATGAAGGATTCTATTTTATATCCACTTATCAGCTTTCGCAAATAAGAAATTGGCTCTATACTAGCTGTAGAATAAGATTCTATGTATATATATTTATTTAAGAAACAGGATACTGCACATATTAACTATTCATAATGGGTTTCTTCCTTTGTTTTATAGGATCATAGAATGGTGTAGGTTGGAAGATCATCTAGTTCCAACCCTTGTGTCGTGGTCAGGGAGACTTTCCACTAGACCAGTGTCCTGGGTTCAGCAGTAGCAGTCATTTTTCTCAAAGCCCCATCCAACCTGGCCTTTCCAGTTCGAACATTTATGTTGAGTATATTTTTATAAAATACATAAGAATTTTTTTGTGTTTTTTTTTGTTTGTTTTTAATACTGAAATTTGGACTCAACTTAATTTAGGACTCATCATTTTTGAGTCCAGGCAAAAAAAATATCCAGGTGAAAGTTATGTTTTGAAGGGCTTTCGTGAGCTATTCATGTTCAATCAGATGGTGAATGTCCATGATTGGGCATCTTAAACTGAACATATTCTCTCTTTTATTAAACATATTACATAACCTGATCTTAAAAACTAAGGATACAGTTTTCGGCTTCGTTTTAGAACATTACTTTGCTTTATAAACTTGCTGAATGAAACTGATTTAAATGCTGACAGTATTTTCCTTACCATGCAGATAGTTTCAGGATTAAAATTCTTGTTTAAAAGTCTGAAAACTTTTTGACAAACAGTTTTTATTTCAAGCTGTCATCATTCAATTACAAAAATTTGGGTTATCAAATTGGTTTATACAAAGAAAAATAATAAAAATAAAAAATTCCAAGGCTATTTTACTACTTTGTGTGACAAATCTTTAAACATTTGCTGTATTTGGTTTGATGGCTTAAAAAGAAAAATAGCATGTACAGTGATATAATCCATCTTAACCAACAATATTGTCATCTCCTCATCCGTCTCCTTAGAAATAGTGACTTGGTTTAAAAATTAAAGAACAATCCATTGTATTATCAGTAAAAATATTTAACCATTATAAAGAAACAGTGATCACCTAGCGATCCAAATAAAGTGCTGTTCTGAGAAAGCATTTGCTTCAGTTGCGTGTTTTTATTATTTGTAACAGGAGATATTTCAAGTTGTGTTACAGACTACTGCCATGAACCAAAATATTCTCTGATGTTACTGTTGGAATTTGTGTACAGCAACTTTTCATGCAGCCAGGAATGGAAATTAATCAGTCATAGCTGTAAAGTTTGTGTACTCATGCAGCAAATTAAAAGGATCTTTTGATTTATGAACAGAGAGATAGTAATCCTATATTTACATCAAGACAGGTTGGCCCAAAACTTCTTAATGAAATTAGCATTTGATAAACTACTTAAGGAAGCTGCTGCAGAGTGGGACTTTTCCGTATAATGACCAAACTCTTGATGTGCTTTGATTAAACAGCTGTGCTTTTTATAAGCAATGTGCTTTTCCAAGATTTAGAACTGTAAATGTAATTAAAGAGAAATTAATAGACAATATTTTGCAGAATAATAGATGTTGATGCAATTACTTTACCTGTGCCACTGAAGATGAAAATCATAGATGAACCTGGAAATTATTAAGGCAATTATGCTTAAAATTAACTCCACAATAACCTGTAATAGTATTTATTAGTTAATTAAGTGTTTCCCATTTACCCAATTTGTATTTTTAAGTGCAACAATCAGCCAGATATAATTGTGTCAGCATCCTCTCTGAAATCTACAGCAAAATCTCACATTTTCAGTGGAGCTGGATATGGTATAAGATTGCTTTTCATTTTACAATTAAACTTCAAATTCAGACTGCTTTGTCCTGGTTAAACCTTGGGAACCTTTTTCTGCCAAGCCATCCCACCCCCATCACCTCCACAACGGTGACATTGGCATGACATGGTATGTTTTGTAGAATGTGAACTAGCCCTCAGGGCCTTTGCAACAGAGAGAAGGTTTGAATCGAACTGCAGTGTAGCAGGACTGCTCTGCTCCAAATGTTTTTTCCATTTGTAACTTAAACGTAGATGCAGTTTGTGGTTCTGCTTTGGTTTCTTCCTCTCTCTTCAATGGTGCATTCCTGCCTCAACCCTCAGGCTTGAATTGCGTGTAACCCAGCTTGGACAGGCACCCTGTGAGCTGCTTTGGAAAGCTGATCCAACTCAAACTAACCTAGTTAAATGTCAAAATTAATTAGTTTGCTCATTATTGACTGAAAGAACTTTAATACCCACAGAGTTCCCTCCCTTCTACCCCCGCTCACATAAGTTCTGCTCCTCTAAAACAAAAAGGCTGGGAATGCATGCCTCTCTCAAACTCCCACGCTGCCACTGGAAAAGGCAAGGAACTAGGGAGAAGCTGTGTGCACAGCCACATGCTTGACTTATGCTCCAGTCTGCTGAGTCCTGCCAGTTCCCCCATCCATACCTGGCTCCACCTGTCCTTCATTCCTACATTTCCACTGCTTGGTTCTCCTACTTGCGCTTGCAAAAGGAATTCCTCAGAACAAACGCTTACCCATAAAACTATGCAGATATTTTAGGGAATAATGTAAATATATTTCTATACTTAGACTGTAACTGAATAAGCCTCTGTAACACAGTAAGGCTTTCACTATATTACTTATAATATTTGGCTTCTATAGTTCCATTGCCTTATTACCAGGCCATTTGTTAAGACCAATTCTTGTCCCAATATGCAATTACAATTTGAGGCACATTTTTAAATATTGGGTTTAAGCCACTTACTGTGTGTTTTCATTAATAAAATCCAAGGCCTAGAGTATAGCTATACAGTTAGCTAACAGTCTCATTTTTTAGCTAGCCAAATCTGTACACTAAATATCAAAGTAGAACTTAATATATTTGCATTATTTATTGTATAGTTCTTTCCATCTCTATCTTTTTTTCTTCCATTTCTCCTTTTATAAGGATTTAAAGGACAAATCCAACATCTAAATATTATAGAAGTTCACTTTTGTGTAAAAACTTAATGCCAAATAAATGTGTGGGCACCCATCAGGAATATTGTGGCAGTGGGAAACACTGACTTGAACTAATTTTTTTCAAGCTCTGTCTCATGAAATCCCTTCCCAGAGGTAACCTTGAGGTTGTACTGCTGGTGTGATCATGTACAGGTGCATGTCCTACAGAAAATCCCACAGCCATGTGTTCTATTACAGGGGACAAAACATAAACGAGTTGTCACACATAACCGTAGCAATACAGCAATCGTGGACGAGCAGAAGGCCAAAACCATCAGCAGAAATTTCTTACAGTTACAGTGGGATATTGGTACTGCATTTCCCAGATCAGGTTGGATTTCAGACTCCCAACCATTATGGGAATATATTTTAGCTAAAAATTCACAAAGTGAATGTGAAAAGTCTTTCAAGGGACAGACTTTAACACTTAAGATTAATGCAAAAGAAGAAAGGCTTTCACTGAGGAAAGGTGATGGTTGAGAGGGTCTCTATGTAACACTGTGTACCAAGTTTTCTCTAAGCTTTCTTTAAATGCCAAATAGAATGTACAAGCTACCTACAGGACAAGGAAACTCAAAAAATTATCAGGCCGCTGTCATTAACAAGTCACCACAGTTTAGGGTGGAAGGGCATATTCTGAGCTGATGAACCATGAACCCCAGCAACTGCAAATAAGATTTATTGCCTAGTCCTTGGCAGCCACATACTGACCGTTTTCAAACAACCTTTTTTTGCCTATTCTGACAAGTAATTCTATAGACCTTTTAGGTGGTCATACACCTATCCAAATCAGTGGTGAAAGATTCTCTAAGATCAAAGATTTGAGAATCTCACTCAAAGGAGATAGTCTAAAAAATACATATATGTAGTTTCTACTTTCACAAGAAGCTTTTGTATGCAGAACATGGCAATGTGAAAGAGCTTCTTCTGTACTGGTGCTGCATTCTGGGGAAAACCAACAATGAACAATGTTAAAAATCGTGAGAACTGCTGAGTAAAAGGAAGGAGCTCTGTTTTGGGAGTGTTCTTTTGATTAAGGTGGAATGTGCCATGCACACTTAATTTAGTGAGATCAAAAGAGAGATGCCTCCCGCAGTTGCCTTGAAAACCGCCTCATTAATAAAGCCTCCCTTTGTGCTCGGTGATCACAAAGTGCTCAGGAAATAAACAGTATATCTGCCCTGTAAAACAGCTGAACGGGCACAGCTTTCTTCTGGCCTTGATAGCTACAGTAGCCGCTGGCAGGCTCCTACCTCCACAGCGTGGCCTCACTGCGGGCAGCAGGAGCGCGCCACTGCGCTGCCGCCTCCGGCAGACCCTTCCACCTCGGGCTCGGGAGCCCTGGGGAGCGGTACTGCACCTCAGGGAGCGGGACATAAGCGGAACTGTACGGGTTCGAACCCCTGAGGCAGCTCCGCTGGTCATGAGGGGACCCGAGGCCTGGCAGCTAAAGCCCCGCCACACGGTGCTGCCCGCTGCCTAAGGAACCCGCTGCTTCCCGTTCCCGCCTCCATCCTCCCTCCGGGCAGAGAAAGCACGTAGGAGGAGAGGAAGGCGGCGGAGCGGAGGTGCTGCCCAGCCGCAGTGCGGTGTCTGCCGGCTCCGGGACAGGAGGGCGGCCTCCCCCCTGGCGGGAGGGCTCGCAATGCGACTCATGGGCGGTGATAGCCGCCACTGTCCGCTCCGGCCTGCTGGGCTCTGGGCTTCCCGAGCGCCT